TTTTATCATTAAGAAATACAAACAACCCTAAATTTTCACCGTTCTATCATCCCCTATTTTTTAATAGGGTTGCTTTTTATTTTTTGTTGCCATCTCTGAAACGGCTTTTGGCTGATTTTGATGAAATTTTATATGTATATTGAGTAGGTCTGAAAATAGGTTGTTATATATTTTTATACCCTTAAGTGATAAGGGTAGCCCACCCCATTTTTTTTTATTTTGAAAAAAAAATATTTTAATTTTTTTATTTAAGTATTAAAATACAAACAACCCTAAATTTCACTGTTTTACCATCATCCCCCTATTTTTTAATAGGGGATGTTTTTTTTTAATGTTTTATTACCATGTCCGGAAATTTGCTTGATCGATTTTGATGAAATTTTATATGTATATCCAGTAGGTCTGAGAATACGTTGTTATCTATTTTTATACCCTTATGATAAGGGTAGCTCACCCCATTTTTTATTTTTTGAAAAAAATATTTTATTTTTTTATTTGGCATTAAAAATACAACTTAAATTTTCACTGTTCTACCATCATCCCCTATTTTTTAATAGGGTTGTTTTTTAAGTTTTGTTACCATCTCCGAAACGGCTTAACCGATTTTGATAAAATTTTATATGTATATTCAGTACGTCTAAGAATAGGTTGTTATATATTCTCTTAAGTGATAAGGGTGCCGAGAGGGTAGCCCACCTCATTTTTTTATTTTTGGAAAAAGATATTTTTTATTTGGCCTTAAAAATACAAACAACTCTAAATTTTCACTGTTCTACCATCATCCCCTATTTTCTAATAGGGGTTGTTTTCTTTGTTACTATCTCCGAAACGGCTTAGCCGATTTTTGATGACGTTTTATGTATATTGAGTAGGTCTGAAAATAGTTTTATTATTCATTTTTATACCCTTAAGTGATAAGGGTAGCTCACCCCTATTTTTTTTATTTTGAAAAAAAAATTTTTTTATTTGGCATTAAAAAATACAACAACTCTAAATTTTCACTGCTCTACCATCATCCTATTTTTAGTAGGGTTGTTTTTAAGTTTTTGTTACCATCTACGAAACGGCTTGACCGATTTTGATAAAATTTATATGTATATTCAGTACGTCTCAGAATAGGTTGTTATTCATTCTATACCCTTAAGTGATAAGGGTAGCCGAGGGGTAGCCCACCTCATTTTTTATTTTTGAAAAAAAAATATTTTTTTTATTTGGTCTTAAAATACAAACAACTCTAAATTTTCACCGTTCTACCATCATCCCCTATTTTCTAATAGGTGTTGTTTTTTTGTTACCATTCCGAAACGGCTTTGGCCGATTTTGATGACGCTTTATTATGTATATTGAGTAGGTCTGGAAAATAGTTTGTTATCTATTTTTTATACCCTTAGGTGATAAGGTAGCCCACCCCCATTTTTTTTTATTTTTCGAAGAAAAAATATTTTAATTTTTTTATTTGGCATTAAAAAATACAAACAACCCTAAATTTTCACTGTTCTACCATCATCCCCTATTTTTAATAGGGTTGCTTTTTAAGTTTTTTTGTTACCATCTCCGAAACGGCTTGACCGATTTTGATGAAATTTATATGTATATTCAGTACGTCTAAGAATAGGGTTGTTATCTATTTTTATACCCTTATGTGGTTAGGGTAGCCGAGAGGGTAGGCCCACCCTCATTTTTTATTTTTGAAAAAAAAAAATGTTTTATTTTTTAGTTGGCATTAAAAAATACAAATAACCCTAAATTTTCACTGTTCCATCATCATCCCCTATTTTTAATAGGGTTGTTTTTTTAATTTTTGTTACCATCTAAACGGCTAGACCGATTTTGATAAATTTTAATGTATATTCAGTAGGTCTGGTTTGGTTTGGTTTGGTCACAACCTATTCCCAGGTTATCTATTTTATACCCCTAAGTGATAAGAGGGTCCACCCTAACTTTTTTTTTTTTATTTTTTAGACAACTTTTTTTTATTTTAATTGTTTTATAGGAGTGCTTAATTTTTAAGGGGTGCATGTCCAAAATTTTCTTCTGGGTACTCACTTTCATCACTTAAGGGACCTCTGTACAAAATTGCATATTCCTAGTCCTAGAATGGATTTTACATAAAAATTATACAAATTTTTACCCTTAGTTTTATCCCCTCGTTCAACCCCTCATTTCACACCCTTAGAGGGCGAATTTCCAAAAATTGCTTCTTAGTGCTAAATTACGTTACATAAGGAACGTCTGCAAAATTCATACTTCTAAAACCGATTTTAACAAATTTTTCTACAAATTTTCATCCCTTATTTTTTAGGGGATGCATGCCTAAAATTCGCTTCTAGGTACTCACTTTCATCATTTAAGGGACCTCTGAACAGAATTTCATACTCCTAGTCCTAGAACGGATTTTACATAAAAAATTATACAAATTTTCACCCCTAGTTTTACCCCCTTAAGGAATGAATTCCAAAAATCGCTCTAATTATTCAATTACGCTACATAAGGAACCTCTGTGCAAATTTTCATATTCCTTCAACAGAATTGTTTCAGAACGTTCACCCCTCATTTCACACCCTTAGAGGGCGAATTTCCAAAAATTGCTTCTCAGTGGTAAATTACGTTACATAAGGAACGTCTGCAAAATTCATACTTCTAAAACCGATTTTAACAAATTTTTGTACAAATTTTCATCCCTTATTTTTTAGGGAATGCATGCCTAAAATTCGCTTCTAGGTACTCACTTTCATCATTTAAGGGACCTCTGAACAAAATTTCATACTCCTAGTCCTAGAACGGATTTTACATAAAATATTATACAAATTTTCACCCCTAGTTTTACCCCCTTATCCTTCAACAGAATTGTTTCAGAACGTTCACCCCTCATTTCACACCCTTAGAGGGCGAATTTCCAAAAAGTGCTACTTAGTGCTAAATTACGTTACATAAGGAACGTCTGTGCAGAATTTCATACTTCTAAAACTGATTGTAACAAACTTTTGTACAAATTTTCATCCCTTATTTCTAGGGGATGAATGTCAAAAATTAGCTTCTGGGTACTCACTTTCGTCACTTAAGGAAACTCTGTACAAAATTTCATACTCCTAGAACTAACATTTTTGGTACAAAATTTCACCCCCCAGTTTCACTACCCTTAGGCTATACATTTCCAAAAATCGCTTATCAATGTTCAAATGCGCCACATCTGTGCAAAAGTTTCATACTCCTAGTAGATACATATTTTTTTTGTATAATTACACCCCTTTATCTAGTTATTCGACCCCTTATGGGTCGAATTTTAAAAAATTACTTAGTAGTGCTCATCTTAGTTATATAGCTCCCCTTAATTAATATTCTCTGTATTTACTCCAGTTTCCTAATACTAGCACAGATAACACATAATCATACTAGTTAATTTTTTATTGGAATAGAAGTAATTTTTATTAGAAGGTACAAAAAAATTAAAAATCTAAAATTTTATTTTCATAGCTACGTTTTTATAGCCTTAGGATGCCTCATGTACTAACGAATACGAAATATATAATCAATACATATTTCTTTAAATATCGAGAAATAAAATATGTTTTGGCAACACCGTACGAAATATCGCCGCGCTATGGAGTGTAGAGGTAAGGAGAAACAACTCCGTGCATTAAAAAATGGTCAAAAAAAGGGAAGAATTAGGATGGCGCTGCTATAGCAAAAACCTAAAATTTAAGACATGCGCCGAACATTTTTAGAACAGCTGATTCAAAAGACATAAATATTTGACGAATCATATACGAAGCCGCGGGTTTCAAAAATACAAATTTATTTTTATGTCACATTTTAGCCTACAGATTTTTATTCAGCAGCAATAGACTAGGCTCTTTTTATTGTCCTCATAAGTTATTTCGCAAATGTCATTCAAGACGACGAAACATTATTCTGATCGTTTTAGCTTAAAATTAATGTTATTATAATTAAGAAAAAAATTATTTAAAGTAATAATTGGTGATGGGTTTAAAATAAATATAATGCAGCTTTAAAATAACTTCATACCTACATTTATTTAGTATAAAAGTAAGTCAACATGTGGTTTTATTATCAATTATTCAGAAGCAATAGACTGAGCCTCTTTTTTATTTTTTCGTAAATTAAAAAATTAAAGTTATTTCGTAAATCTCATTCAAGATGAAAAAAAGCTTTAGTTTAAAATTAATGTTAATTATAATTAGGAAAACTTTATTTAAAGTTTAATTGATGATATGGGATTTAAATAAATATAATGCAGGTCAAAAATAACGTAACACATTTTATTTAGTATAAAAATTAAGCCAATGTAATGTAATTTTATACTGTACAAGTATTTATTTACGTTTTGCCATCGTAGTTGCCATTCATTCAGAATAGTGGATTTTAAATGTTCGATAGTCGGATGGCTTAACTACCTTAATATCACTACTTCTAGACAAGAATTGTGTGCTGTATTATCTTCTTTTTCACTCCCAGCTATTCCAACATGGCTTGCATGGCTTGGGACGTGAAATAACTCATGTCTTTCTTGTAGTTCACCCAATAGAATCGTTCTCGCAGCTTCCTCCCAGGTTGGTAGTTGCTATTCATTCAGAATAGTGGATTTTAAATATATTTGGTAGTCGGATGGTTTAACTATCATAACTATAACTACTTTTAATAATTCTTTTTCTCAATTCTTTGCACTATAATTTGCATCCCACGTATTGTAATATTTTCCTTTGAATTTCGTTTCCTATTGTTCCATGGCTTGAGACGTAATGTTATAGCCCTTCCAGATCCTCATGTATATGTCCCTTTTTCTTGTAGTCCACCCAATAGAACCTTTCTCTTAGCTTCCTCTCAAGTTGGTTCATTAAGAATAGTGGATTTTAAATATGTTTTGTATTCGGATGGTTTAACTACTGTAACATCATAAATAAATTGTATACCAACACATAATGGCCAAACTTCAACAGACTTTAATATTCATAAACCTCATCAGAAGAAAATATTTTTTGATCCAAAGTTTTTTTTTCGTTATTAGAATAAATTACCTGCAATTTGTTAATTCATTACAACATTGAATAAAAGATGCAAATTGTTTATACATACTATAATAGATAAATCTTCATTTAAAATTATGTGATAGATCTGCTTGCTTGTAGGATCTAGACTCATAAACTCAATCATTTCTTTTATTGATATAACCAATAAAGTAGTAATGCTGAAATTTTGTTTTTGATTTGAGCAGTAGGGTCCATTATTTCCATTATTTGATGCTGTTATTGCTCTACAAAATGTTATCTTTATCAAGGGATGTTTATGTGTATAATATTATTATTTATGTGTATAATAATACTGTATGATCGAAAAAACACGGCGTCCAGTGGGCTTGGAAATGAACATCTCGATGACATTCTCCATATCATTTTATAAAATGACAGCGATCTTCATTTCATAGGCATCGCCGACGCCGTTTTTTTTCGATCAAATTGTACTTATGTGTATAATATTCATTTAATGGTTCGTGTTTTAGTTGCTGGTGTTCATATTTTGGTCTTTTATTCTGTTGTTGCTCTACAAAATGTTGATATTTATGTGTATAATATTACTCTTTCTGTGTAAAACAATACTTACGTGTATAATATTCATTTAATGGTTTCCTTCTTGCTTGTTGCTGTTGTTGCAACTCAGAATTTAATTTAACCTGAGGCAGTAGGTAGAGCTTCATCCTCCAATATTTTCCTATGTAAATACTGAAGTGGACAGACAGTATTTCTGATGATAATTTTATCACAAACTTTAACATCTTGTTCTTTAAAATGAAACTGCCATACCTTATCTGTAGATTTCAAAGCAATATCTAAATGCTTTTGACCATCACTGTAATCTAATCCTTGTCTGAAAATCAATACCTAATATTATCCTGATGATTTTGATTTTTGATAGATTATTAAAATACAGCACTTACAGTTAATTATATTTCTTGAAAGTACCTACAATTTTATGTATTTCCTACTTTTACTTGTTTAAAAAAATGCCAACAATTTGTGCATGTCTGTCAAACTTTAAAATCATTAAAAATACATTTTATTTAGGTTGTAACTTTATAAAAAGGATTGTAAAAATATACTTTGTAACATGTATGTCAATAATCTTACGAAAAATGTTTACTACACTTTTGATTGACTCTAATTTTTACATATAGGTATACAAATAATACAATACTCAATTATGTATTTTACATACCGTAGGCTTTGCCTTTGCTCTTTATTTTTCCATCAGCTATTCAATCAACTTCGCACCACACACACTTTAACCATTGTTAAATAATAAATAAACCACAAAATATTGATAAACAATAATTATTTTATATTCTAAAAATAAAACAAAACTTTTTTGGGTAATGTTTGGTTATATTTATTTTTATTCCTCTTATCTATGGTTACTTTTCATTTTTTAGATTTATGCGTTTTTAGCGCCACTGTGGTCATTTGGCGAACCCTTATTCTTCCCATTTTGTGACCACTTTTTCAATAAAAGTCCCATAAGAGTTATTTCTCCTTACCTCTACACTCCATAGCCGCGCGTAGTCCTCAAAATTTAAAATATTAAAATATTAGCATTTTCAGGCTTCGATTATGTTCAAAAGCGCCACCGTGTGACAAATCACCAAAGCTTCCACACGAGATTTCTTAAAACTATAATATTCTTTGATTTAACATTGACTTGACACTTCTTCTTGTATTTATTATTTTATGGTTGAAACTCCTCTTATTTTCGCCGCCTATTTCTAATCCCCACAAAATTCCCAATCGGCTCCGGATTCCCCAAAATTTGTGGAATTCCCCACAAATTGGCAACGCTGGAGGTTAGCGTGTTCTTTCTGAATATGCCTGGAATATGCTAAAGACTAACGGACAGTGCTGCCAGGTCTGGTGAAATTTCACCAGATCTGGTGATTTTCGACCCCACTTTGTGAAATGGTGAAAATTTTTTGAAAAAGCCTATTTTCTGGTGATTTTTGGACACTGGCTTTTATTAAACAAAAAACACTATTATATTATGAGTTTACATTCAAAACGTAACAATGGTTATTGTAAAAAATAGAACAAATATACCTATTAAACTAAGTTTCAGGTAGAAAAATTAATTAACTTGAGAATTGACTTGAAACTTGACTTTTTTACATGGCTATACCGGGTGCATCTCAAAAGTGGCTCACTTTTATAACTTTTTTATTTTTTCAGTTAAAAAAACGAGATTTGGTATGTTAGTATACGACATAAAGGTAAAGGTGTGGATCCGGTGGCTGACCTTGAAGCCCATATTTGCTGCATTTGATCATCGATACTACGCAAGCGCACATCGTCGATGTTGCCAAATTGCAGTTTATTTTCGAATTATTTGCTGTTGAAAATTTTTTTTTTGAGTGTTAATCAATAATAATATAAATTCTATAATTAATTTTATAATTTCAGATTTATCTGGATATCCAAAATTAAGGTAAGCAGGATAATGAAAATTGTGAAATGAAAGTATTATGAATATATAAAATTGTAATAATAACAGATGAGATATGGAAGTGGTTGAATAATAAAAACATTTATTTATATATTTACATTAAAATTAAAAATTATCATTTACGAATTTTTTCTTAATGGGTTTAAACTTATTAGAATTGTTTTATTTCTTTCAAGTTATTTAATTTCTAGTTATTTACAGACAAGCAACAATAGTTTTGATTATTTGTATTGATGTTTTGAAATACTACCATGACGAGTCTTATAGAACAATACACGTCAATGGGAGATAGAGGTAACATATTTTACCTATAATGTTACAATATAATATACTTTGATTGTAATGTTTGTATCATAATTTCTTAAAAATAAGTTAGTGGATTAATAGCAATTTTAGACATATATTTTATCGAAGAGTGTGTTGGATAAGACTAAAATAAGCTTTATGTTTTATCTTTTTCTTTAGAAGGGAGATGGTTTGTCGTAGAATACATTACAGTATTTAATATCGTGTACTGTAATTTCGTTTCCTATAATGCCAAATCTTGACAATATGGTGAAGGTTGTGCTTAATCTGAATTCATCCCGAATTTTTAATAAAGCCCTTTTAAACGTAGCATAATAATCTAGAGCAATTAGATTAATTATAGAAATCTAGAGTTTTATTTCTATTTAATTTTATTGACTATGAAAATACAAAATAAGCGTTCACGTGTTGTGCGAAATATTAAAATAATAATATAAATCCTTGATATAAAAAAATAATATACCGCGGACTATGATTGAAAAAAATAGCGTCAGCGATGACTATGAAATGAAGATCGCTGTCGCTCTTATATGGGAAATGTCCTCAATCGTCATTTCCCAGCCAACTGGACACCGTTTTTTCGATCATGCGGTATATATTGACAAAAAATACTGAAAAGCACATATTTGTTTTCTACTGAAAATAATTCCAAAATAACTTACAATCTGGCAACATAGAAGATGTGCGCATGCGTAGTGTCTGTGACTATATGCTGCAAAAACTCGTTTCAAGGTCAGCCACCGGATCCACACCATTACCAAATGATTTTTCCAAATATGCTAATGAGCCATTCTAGTTCCATTTGAAAAAATTAAGATATGATTAAATATACGATTTGAGCATTTTCACGATCAAATCTATTTTTTCAAGGTCCTTAATTATGAATTATTGCTTTTAACATAGCCATGGCACTCTAGATTGAGTTTTAAAATATGATTTTTTATTAAGCGAGAATGTCAAAACTTGACATATAATATGTCATTCTATTCAGAGTGTAATTTTCTATCGAATAAAGTAAAAATATACCGAGGGTGCCATTTAAAATCAAAAATTGTAGTCATTTCCGGTGAAACAGGAAGTGACCAAAAACAATTGAATACGTTGATCCAATCTTAATTTTGTCATACACTAACATACCAAATCTCGTTTTTTTATCTGAAAAAATAAAAAAGTTATTATAGGGGTAAGCCATTTTGAGACGCACCCAGTATATTTGCATTTTGCATTTCAAAATTATATTTTTTTAATAAAACGTGTTTTAAAACTATTTATTTGGTTCACTTTTAAATATTGTCTGTAACTACTGTATTATATGCGAAAAAATTGAAATCTGGTGATTTTTTTCCAAATCTGGCAACTCAAAAAATACGAAAAAAACAAACACACCACGCTAACCTCGAAAGTCAGAACGGTCTGCAATTATTACTTTATTGATCTCCCCTATAAGCCTAAACACTAACATGGCGGCCATGTAGGCATAACAAGATTTTTGGATGCGCACTCGTCGAAGCTCATTCTCCTATCTCTATATCTCTGGTCGATGCGCTACAGGAACATTTGCCTGCGCGTCGTATGTCTTCTGTCAGTCTTTTAAATTTTTCTGTTTGTCTATGATTCTAGGTTTTATTTGACATTTGACACATGTGACGACATTGACCTTTTAAAATTTAATAAGTGTTTATTGCTGTTCCTCACAGGAATTTACGTTTTTTAAAAATGTTTATTTATATTTATATCAATAAACTCTTTCACAGTGTAAAAAAACTAAATGGGCCTCTCTGGATATTGCAGTCACGTTTATTTTGATTACAAAGGGTAGCTGACAAGGCCCAAGAAAAATGATAACAGCGGGCTTGGATAGCTTGCATATTTTTTTAGATAATAACAGAGATAATAATGGTACGAGAAATAATGCTCAAAATGCATCTGTAGATAATCAATTGATAGCACAGAATTGCTTTATTAGACAACTGGAGGATGGCAATTATGAATTAGTTTTTTACAATACACAGGTGAGAATTTCATTTAGTGAATAAGGTTGCTATATTGTAAATATGTATGTATTATGTTTCACAGGACTCCCAAAATGGTAATGAATGTGTTGGAATTGATGAGTTAAATAAAGATGTAAGCTGTGAGAAATTAGTTGAAAAAACAAATGACAAAGTAGGGCCAAAAGGAGTTAAAGTTTCTGTAATTCAAACTAACAAAATTGAAACAAAACCTACGGAACATGTAAAAACACCAACTAACAAATTACTGGGTTCTATAAAACTAGAAAAACCTTCTATTAACACCACTATCTATTCATGTATTAAATGCAAAGACCAATTTAATAGTCTGACTTTATTTCGTACCCACTTGAAATTGCATAAGACAGAGAAAAAGTTCAGCTGCACAAAATGTCTCACAGGGTTTAATATAGAGAATAATTTAAAAGTTCACATGACTATTTACCATACTGGACACACAGATGTATGTCCTATTTGTAAAATTAAGTTTCAGAGGAAAGCTAGTTTGAAATCACATGTTATAGTGCATCAAGTTGAAGAGTTGATGTCCTGTGATGAATGTCAAGCCGAATTTCAGAATGAAGTTAGTAAATTATCAGTTAGAATAATAATATGTAATAGGTAAATGAAAAAAAAAACATTTTTAGGATGAACTTTTAAAACATATGGAAGTTCATGCAGTAACAAAAATGGTTAAAAATGAAAATGATTCATTGGTTTGTCCATATTGCAAGCTAGATTTTCTGACATTAGCTGATTACAAGCAGCATATTGAGAAACATGTTGAAGTTAAAAGAAATGTTCTTAAGGTAACATGTTCTCAAAAATAGTACTTTTTTTGTTCTAGTATTTATTTTAGGGAAAGAAACCTAAAAGAAAAAAAGGTAGAGAAAGAATTACTAGTCATAAATGTAAATATTGTGGTAAAATGTTTTCAAAAGGATGTTTGTTAGAAAGGCATGAAAGAATTCATACAGGAGAGAAGCCTTATGTTGTAAGATATTTATAGTATATAAATCATGTAAAGGTGATGGTAAGTTTTAGGTACGTCGCCAATCTTGAAGTTATTGATGTAAATGTAACATTAATATATTCTACAATTAATGCTTTAAGTACAGATACTCGACTAAATGTTTGTTATTTATTTTTTGACCAAATTTGAGGTTAGAATATAGCTTTCTCTATTAAATTTAATAAAAGTAGGGTTGCCAACCATCCTCTATTCCAGAGGACAGTCCCCTTTTTGATCTCACTGTCCTCTTTTTTCTCACGTATTGAAAAAGTCCTCTTTTTTACATACCAAACTCAAAATCTTAAACAGATTCATCTATTGGCAGTATTGCCACAATGCTTTAAAAATTGTTAATCTGTGTCTTTTACTACTCTCACTTGTTTGTATAGGAAAGGAAATGAAAAAATATTTATATACAAGAAATATTTGTGGAAGCGATAGACACGTTTAACTATTTTACAAGCTATTTTATGTTTACTTACTGTTAGCTTATTTTTTGAAGAAAAAAAATTGTTGAAAATGGTTTCCTTTTTTTAACAAATTTTGAGTATCAATATTTTTAAGAAAGTAAGAAAGATCATCAATCGTATATCGTTTACATAACTATTTGGTAAATTCTAGACATTTATTGGGCGAGGTTTCAAAAAATGTTTCGCCTGTGCCTCTTTTTTACCCTCTACCCTTTCGTCCTCTATTTTTTATTTTGAAAGATGGCAACCCTAAATAAGGGTGACAAAGAAGACACAGAATTAAGGTTTATTTGTCTTTTGCTCGCGTCTGCGCATATCGCTTGGTAACGAATATTGAAAATGGGGATTTTGTTTTATCCTTGTATTTTATTTATACTTTCCTATTAATTTTGAAAAATAGCGGTAGCGATAGTATATACCTTTTAAGAATATATTTTATATTTTGATCTGTGTTAAAGGTTGAGAAGAGGATTACAATGCTAACAGCGTCCGCCGTAACCGAGTTTTGATTGCTTTGATTTCAACCTTTTTTTTATGGGGTTTCGTTTTTGGTGTTATTTATGGGCGATCCGCACTTTTTTCGTTAAAAAATATCGTAAGTGTCCCTCTTCTCAATTCTGTATAGAAAATTTTAAAAATTCGACGTACCTAAAAGGTACCAGGTCCTATGTAAATAAAGTAAGGAGTTGAACTAGGTATCAATTTTTTAGTGTAAAATATGTAACAGAGCATTTGCCCAAAATGGGACATTACTAATTCACTTAGGAAGCCATACAGGTTACAAACCTTATTCCTGTTCACTGTGTCCAGCAAAATTTACCCAAAAAGGTACAAAATATAATTTATTTTTATACGAAAATATGCTTATTAAATATGTTTAGGCAATCTTAGAGCTCATATTGATAAAACCCATACAGCACCCCAAGGAAACCAAAAAACATATAAATGCACTCAGTGTGCTTGTATTTTCAAGAAAATTGCCACTTTAAATGGTCATATCACCAAAGTGCACTTAACAACAAAATATCAAGAAAACAATGCTGAATCTGATGATGCAGTAGATCAAGCTTTGGATGGATTGAAAAAGCTTAATGAAGCTTTGAACAAGCTAAAAGATTCAGTAAAAACTGATGTAACTATTATTTTATTTAAAGTGCTGCGTTATGTTATTCAAACATATTTTTTAGATTAAGTTGTCAGTCGACAGCAGTAATGGTGTGCCAGGTAGTAGTTTAGTTAAATTAGCAGAATCAGAAGCCAATGGTGACATCAGAAGGTACCTAGTTAGACAGAAAAAGATAGGAGATGTCAGATGGTACTTCTGTGACTATTGTACGAGTAGATTTAAAAAACCATCAGATTTGATCAGGCATATACGTACCCATACTTTAGAAAAACCATTTAAGGTATAACGTCTAATTTATACAACTTCCTTTATTTCATTTATTTTTTCTTTCAAAGTGTACAAAATGCAATCAGTCTTTTGCTTTGAAGTCCACACTGATGAATCACCATAAAACTCACATCAGCGCATGCTGTGAATGCAATTACTGTGATAGTAGATTTAGAAGCGACAAAAATTTAGAAGCACATCTCAAGTAAGTGGAAGTAGCTGACTTAAGCCATAGATAAATGAAACAAGTTTAGATTGAAAAGTGCGCATAAGGACAATGTAAACACTATTTGGCGCTATTCTTGCAACGGTCGCGACCCAAAGCTTTTGATAATTTTGGATCGGTTTGTCTTTCCAATCTAAATTTATTTCCTTTATCTATGACTTAAGCTGAAAGAGCACTGACACTGACACTGAATCGGCACAGACCGGCCAGAAACGACAACGGCGGTGACTTGACTATCATAGATATATAGAGAAAGGACTCCGGCGCCTACAGGTAAAATTTTTTAGTGGACGTTATCTACTATCTACATCTACGATGGTCACAGTCGTCCTTGCGGGCCGGTCTGTGCCGATTGAGTGCGCGGGGTTTCATTTATTTCTATGTAAAGTGAAAACTGCCGATAGCTCTTTACTGTGTAGACCAGGCGAAGTCGATTCAGTGCGCTTTCATTTTTAAAAGCACAAAAGTCACATCGTTATCTTCTCTATTAAGCTGGCATAATATCATTATTGAATTATTGTAATAAACATACTGGCTTTTGTCAAAGTCCTGAGACTGTATGATGAGTTATAACCCGCTATAACTCAAGAAAGGGGAACACACAATAGATCTGTAAGGTCGCGGTGATTAAGCCGCCTCCCAAACATTCCGCATTCTACATTGTAATATAAGGGCCAAGGACAAACTTTATATCGACGGTTGAAAGGAGCAACTGCTAATACGCCACTTTCGTAACTTTACAGAAGACATGTTTGTCTGTTTATTTTGAAACTCTGTCGCTTAAGACATTATGTTTCTCGTAATTTATTCAAAATTTAAAATGTTTAATGCGCCAAACTTAGGATGAAACCTAGGTAGATCGACGCAGAAAAATTCGCTGATTTCGAAGGTATAAATAATTCAATTTCCACAAAAGTGGCGTATTAGCCATTTCTCCTTTCAACCGTCGATATATAGATAACCGAAGTTAACCGACGTTAGACGATGTGAGCGGATGGTTGGGTGACCGTCTGCAAACTCTGTCGTGTTGTTGTTCCATTGCAAGTGTGTAAAATTTGTTGACACACTTACTCATTTACGCTAGTTCGAGGCATTTGCGTCTAGCCGTACCGTACAACTCTTCAACCTCAACCCACATTTCCGGCGCATGCGTATTGGAACGGCAGAAGAAATGCTTTAATATAGTCTGGTTTCGAAAGCAGCGTGTAGCTGGGCAGCAGCGTGGGTGAGGCTGCTGCTTCAGGAGCAACGGGACGGTGGATCAATCCTCGGCAGTGGTAGAACTTTTTTATTTTTTTTAAGTTGTTTTTATTTTTTAAAGCTGTTTTTACTTTTTAAAGCAGTTTTTATTTTTTTATTTATTTAGAGCTGTCGGTAAGAACGAACAAAATACGCCGTAGGTGTATTTTGATTGCGTTGGTTAGGCGTATTTTCATTGCGTGGGTTAGTCTCTGGTGTAAGTTTTTTTTTTGATTATAGATTGCACGTGAAATACCCGATCGATTTTGTAGAACTATGTTATTATAATTTGTAGGTACGTTTTTGAAATTTAAATTTGGTTAAATTATGCTACTATTACTTAGAACTTACTCTCGAAAGTAACAAGTTTATAATAAAAGACAAGAAAATAACCCACAATTTAAATTTGGCGGGAACTGTGGGTTGGAGTTGAAGAGTTGCATGGTACGGCTAGACGCAAGTGTTCGAGGCCGGATGAGATCGTATACCTCGTGAGTTAAGAGTCGATTTAGACATCTGCCGAGTCGGTAGGTCATGACAACAATATGGCCGAGGACCACGTAAACAAAGTAGGCTTTGTCCAGATTAGCCTTAGTAGCGAAAAGGAGACGTCGCCTTATAAATACTTTACTATACGGACGTTATATTTTATGGCCCTGCTACACACTCGTCGAGTGGCATAGGTAGCGAGGGAAGGAGACAGAAACGTAGTGTGGCAACATTACTCATCATGCTGCATATCATGCTCCTCGTCCTGCAAACCATTCCCTGTTTTGTCGGTTTTTTGGGCGCGAGTCAAAGGAGCGGCGATATAAGCACGAGTGGCTGGCGAGTAGTTACGCGAGCAGAGCAGAATGTGGGCGGAGAGGACAACATTGCGGTAACACGAGTAGGGCGATGAGCAGCGCGAGGAGCATAGTGTGGCAAAGGCATTACATCACTTTGATTGTGAGTATAACTTCAGTAGTCCGGGCAGATATCGTTCAGGCATACGCCGAACGTAATCGATGTGTCCGGATTACTGGAGCTACTTAAATTTATTTCTTTAGAAAATGATGGTATAACAGTTAATCGGTCTTTCGATCTTTTAATATGGATCTGATTTTTCACCTTGATGCAGTTGCGTTGTATACTTGTTCTTTGCATATTGTCTTATCTAGAACAACAGATCTAAACTTTTTCCTGAAAAGGAGTCACGGCTGTGATATCACTGGAAAGCAGTAACATTTCTGGCCACATATCGTCAAAAAAACGTATTTCGTGCCCTATCTTCAGTTTATCTAGCAATTCATAACTTGCTAAAAATTCTGTTTTCGTTCGTGAAATTTCTAATGAAATAGGTGCGTAATCATTTCGTTGTCGTTTGTCGTATAAGCCAGTAAAATGGCATAGTTTGTCCAATGATTCAGGAGAGATTCCGACAAATAATATCCAAAAAATGGCAGATCATACAATTTACCTATGATTTAAAATCATGGACACAAGTGTCACTGTCACGGATCCCCTCATTGGATATACTATATTTCAACTTTAGATTATTCTTCTGTTCTAAATAGTTTTTATTTGCATTTAAAACAATACGTTGTCGATAATTGTATTCCTGCCTGTCCTTTGAAATTATTTTGATATAAAAGTACTTATTTAATCCCCTTTTGTTCATGTTAAACACTGCGATTTTGAAACTATAATATGTTCAGCAATTTGGTGATTTTTTTCCAGTATCAAGATACTCTAATGTTTTAGATTTTTCCTTAGGATTTTTCGGCGAGTGTAAAAGAATCTTATGTGCTCGTTTGATTGGAACTAGTAGTGGGAACTATCGAATGAATACTATCGAAACATTCGATAGTTGCAATTCATTCGAATAATTCGATAGCTAGTAAGAAAACATTCGTTGAAAACTATTCGAATAAAAATTATCGAATAGATGCGTCATCTGCCTTGAAATATTGTGTTCTAGTAATTCGGCAGCAAAAACCATTCATTTATAAAATTCATTCATTTATGAAATTGATTTATTCGTCAGGATCGATTATAATAAAATATTAACTGGATTTTAGTTGTCGCCCGGCGACGTAGGTTTCTTTCCGAGAAACTCGACAGCGGTCGGTGGCAATGCTATGAAAGAAGCCGGCATCTTTGATTTTTGCGGAGTCATATAAAGATAAGGACATTATTTTTTTTTATTGAGGTGCTAGTATTTACACAGAAAATACATTATGAAGGGCGCTGTTGCCATATATTGGTATTAGTTGATATTAGCAAAGAATGTTATTGTTTGGCTTTAGTTAGTTAGGGATAGTATGTCTATATATTTTGCATTTTTTTTATTAATATTCTGTTGTTACACTGCAATAATACTTGTTATTTTGGATGTAGGAAAATGATTTTTAATGTTTTTAAGCAAAGACTGATTTAATAAAAATAATAATAACAGTAATAATTTGTTATACCTATTAACAACAAATTTTAAAATAATTTAATATAAACATTTTTTACGTAGTAGCAAAATATAAACAACAAATTAGATGTCAAAATTATTTATATTAGATCCTATTTAAAAATAATATAGTCTTTAACTTTTTTGGCAACGTTGGTTTATTAAATAATAATAATTACAGAACTAATTTGTTATATTAACAACAAACTTTCAAATCATGAAACATAAACATTTATTAATTTTCTAAGCATGCAGTGTAATGGAAGGAAAATATAAATAAAAAATTAGAAATCAAAATTATTTATATTAGGTACTTTATATTACTATTTAAAAATAATATTTACTTTTGCTGGCATTTACTTTAAAAAATAAATGAAATATTTATTCGCAAAAAACTACATGTAAGAGAATTAGCATAAACAAAATACAAACATCTTTAACATTTTTTTTAAATTGGCACGTGTAAAACTTTCAATTTAATTTTCTCACCCCATAGTTTGAGTTCGATAACCATTTACTTAACCACATTACTTAAATATGATTATTAAGTTCAACTAATTCATATTATTAAAACATCTAAAATACAAATATGTATTTTTAAAATTAATTCTAAGTTCATCTCATCTCTCTTAAAAATTGCTACTTCTCAAAATTTCCCATTAAAAAATAGACCATATACCATATAAAATAAAATAATTGAAAGATCGGGCTACGGAAAATCACACAAATTTTCGGAAAAATTTTGACACCTGCACACGCACACAATCGTCAATTAAAAAAAACTACTATTTTAGTATTTTAAATATTTTAATAAACGCAAAAATAGCACAGTATTTATAAGGCGAAGTTATAAAAATTTGGAAGAACTAATAATGCACTGACGCACACAAAAATCAAACGAATACTAAATTTCATTTATCAAAAGCATTCGATAGTCGTGGCTCAACGATAACCATTTAGTCGTACGGCGAGGTTGTCACATATGCTTTAGTATACAAATGAATGAATGATTTTATTCGAATAAAACCATTCGATAGTTGAAATCATTCATTCAGTAACCATTCGATAGTTTAATTCATTCGATAGTTTAATTCATTCGATAGTTCCCATCGCTAATTGGAACTATTACGTTTACCCCGCTCTAGAATCCAATGCATAAATATAGAGTCAGTTCGTAAACAAAATGTAAACGTTCTGCTTGTCCAGATTAGAAAATTCTGAGATTTCGGGTATGATTTTTTTTGCACCCGGATTTCAGGGGCAAATGTTTTAAAATGCCCGAATAGTAGCCGTGCCCGGATTACTGGAGTGCCCGTTCTATAGAGCATCTGGACTACTGAAGTTATACTGTAATAGTATAATGATTTGCCAAAAATAAATTGGAATATAATAGTTAGGCGCCAAATTCAAATGTATTTGTCTTTAACGGAAATAATGTTATTGTTGGAAAATATGTTGCAGGAGGCATGAAAGGTCAGCAAGAATGCCCAGTTTTTACTGTACTTTATGTGACAAAGTATTTTGCTCATTGGAAGAAGCCAATAAACATCGTTCAGTGCATGAAATTGAGAATCAAAATACACTTAATATTATACAGCCAATAGAAAAAGAACCGTTATATCAAACAGTTTATGGTAAGTCATTTCTTTGCTTGGATTTTTTCTTTGATAAGGTATTATTACTATTATAGGCTCATTGCCATTAAAACCACCAAAATCTAGATTATCTAACACTGGAAATGAGTGTCCATCTGAGAGACCTCATCATTGTAAAATTTGCGATGCAAGATTTAAGAGACTGAGGGGTTTAAAAAGACACGTCATGTATCATACAGGTGAAAGAAAATTTAAATGTATTATATGTCCAAAGTAAGTGACTTGTTTTGATGTCTATTAGATATATTAAAGGTTGTTTTTTAGGGCGTTCATAACTAAATATCGGTTAAAAGAACACATGAATTATCACAAAAATATTAGAAACTATTGTTGTCTAACTTGCGGCAAAAAATTTGTTACAGCTTCATTATTGAAAAGACATACTATAGTTCATAACACATTAAAACCATATTTGTGTCCATATTGTAGTAAGTGTTTTAAAACTTTGTTACTAACAAGGACTCATATTAGAAATGTGCATAAGTTGAATTTACTTGGGAAAGATGTAAGTATACATGTAAAAGTTTTTTAATGATATAATTATTGCGTATTACATTTTATTAGGTAAATACAGCCGGTAGTAGTGGTGCTTCAAATGAATCATCCAAGATTTCAATGGTTTTGAATATAGAACCTCAGCCAGCTTTGCCTGAACCAACTCCAACTTATGAAATGGTTTATTTAAACTTTGGCGATGTTGAATTAACTAATCAGGATCCAAATACTATCGGCAACGTTCCACTGAACACTCTAAAAATACCGGTAGATTTTTTTCTATTAATTCTACTTGAAAATTAACAGAATGATTTACAGAACGAACCACTTTTACCTGACCATATTCAAGCAAGTCCTGCCTTATATAATGTAGAGGTCGATAAACCAGAAATGATTGATTCAACTGATATAGTTAAATATTGTTACGGTCATGGAAAACTGGCAACACCATTTAGTGAATTAAACCTGTTCTCTGCCGTCGATCTTAGCAGCGCTCCCGTTAATTTAGGTGCGGGAAACGAACGTAACGTCACCGCGATGACTTATTTTCGATATTTTTTAGGACAAAAAGAAGGGATGGATATATTAACTGCGCAAGTGTTGTGCGTGAACTGTCACAAAATGTTTTCTGATATGGCGGTGTTCCAAAGTCACGCATGTTCAACTACTGCAGAGAGTATTAATGTTCAGACGGCCAAAAAAAATTTAGTAAAGGAAGAAACCGAATTAAAGGAAACCAAACTCAAACAGAATTCTTGTAGTTTGTGTCCTTACGTCACGAACAGCGAGGAAAAATTACGCAGACACTTGAGTTTTAACCATACAGACACTGTAGATAAAGTTTGCAAATTCTGTTATAAGGATTTTAAGAAACCATCAGATTTGGTGAGTTTTGCTTTTAATAAATTGGAATTTTACCGATTAAACATTTCTCTAATTTATACAGGGTGTTCCAATTATCCGTGAACATACAGTATGTCCCCGGATTGTCTTTACACGAGGAAAAACTTTTTATTATTGACATTTAGAGGAAAAGGCATTCTTCATAAAAATTTTTGCTTATTCTAAAATGGATAATCCCATTTATATTTTTCCAAATCTTCATACCGTTTTTTTTGCTTTTTAAACATTTTAAAAGAGCAAAAAATATGACATTAATTCAAATTCTGTCAATAACAATTTTGTGATAACAATCACAAATAACAATCCATCAAAGAATGGAATCGGAATGATATTACCATAAACGCCTTTTGATTCTTAGGACTAAAATTCAACTAAATTTTCATGTTTTTTTAATTTCCTCTAAAACCTTATGAAAATTTGGAAAAATGTAAACGGAAATTAAAAAACCATTTTAGAACAAGCAAAAATTTTTTTATGAAGAATGCAATTTTCTCAAAATGTCAATAATAAAAAAGTTTTTCCTCTTGTAAAGACAATCCGGGGACATACTGTAGAACTACTACATATCAGGGTTGGCAAATATCATGATATTTATATAAATATCGGATATATATCCGATATATATCTGATATATATCCGATTTCTAAAACTAACAACAAACAAATTTATAATTGATTTATTAATTTTATTAATGGTAAATCATCGTCAGATTCGTCAGAGTCAGAATCAATTGATGCTGTTTCTGGAAAAGTTTTTGGTACATTTGAATTGTCCCAGATCCAATCAATATTATCTTTTTTTTTTCTTTCGGATTGTTGTATTTAAATAAAAAGGTCAATTTTCCAGCTTTTTTGTTCCATGTTGACTTTTTTAACGTGGAAATTTAAGAACAGAGTTGAGTTTTATTCTTTTATAAATATCATGATATATATCAAGGTATAAATATCATGATATATATCAATGATATATTAAGTTCATTGGACACATTTTACCTCTATACAAAAATGTACGGTTGTCCATGAGGATATCAAACTTTAAAAAACTAAACACATTTTTTAAGATATTTTAAGAACCGTTATTCCGATTTGAATGAGATGTTGTACCTGCTTTTCTAAGCGCTTTAACATCTGACTTTAACAAAAATCCAGCAAAAGTACGGGAAGGGTGAAAACTACCACGACCCCTACATACATTTTAGTAGAAATATTTTCCAACTCCACCGATCGATCTTACATTTTTTTTTCTTAAAATGATCCGTCTAGGGAATCCGAAATCTGAAATAAAAAATTAAACTTCTGTATCCTGTATCTCCGAAACAAACTATTTTAGGACATACATTTATACTAACTTTTTTACTTATTTTTATTCTGCAGAAAAAGTTTCGCGAATACAATTCGGACCATCCTGTATAAATTAAAAAAAGATATTGAATTTAATCATATTATGTCAACTTTAGGCACGTCATTTGAGAACGCATACTGGGGAACGCCCTTATGAATGTACACAATGCAAAAAGAAATTTTCATTAAAATCGACTTTAGAATCCCATAGCCGAACGCATGACAGTAGCAGTCAAAAAACCGTTGTTTGTGACGTTTGCAACGCCAATTTGACCACCAAATCTAGCTTAAAAGTCCATATGTTACTTCATACAGGTACTAGTGGTTTAACAGATTTAAGTTTCGATTTTAATTTTGTAACTTTAGGAATTATATACAATAATCTTATTCGAAATAATAAAACCTGTAAAACGCTATTTTATAAAGAATAGTTCAAATGTATTTTTACAGGAATTCAGACATTTTTACAGTGATATGAGTAGTTCAAATGTTATTTTGACTTTTTTCTGATCTTTCGCAGGAGAGAGACCGTACGCTTGTAATTTCTGTGACCAGACGTTTCGAACGTCGGCAATTCGACGTGCTCATGAAAAAAATATTCATGTGAATGGAGTAAAACATACGCAACAGCCCCCAAAGGGTTTCAAACTTATGAAATATGTGGCAGAAGAGTTAGTAGAGGATCTACAGCGTCAAGAACAGCCAAAAATCCAAGAACAAATAATTTTGGCACCAAACCAAGAACCTCTTTCTTTAGATTCAGTCAATTTTCTTCAAAATATTCAAAATTCTTCGATAATCGTTGCCGAGAACGCCATTCCCTTCAGTTTGAGTGATATCGCTCTCATAAATTATGGAGAGGAGCAAAATCTAATGGATTTGAAAGATTTGGATGAAACCTTGCAAAATGAAGAGGTGACTTGTAAAGTTCCTCAAGCAAAATCTTCTAAAATTGAATGCGATTTGTGTCACAAATTGTACGCTTCTAAGGATGTTCTTAGAAAGCACAAGAAGAACGTTCATGGACAGAATAAGAAGTTCCCCTGCATTAAATGTGATAAAGGTGTGATAAACCATTGATTATGTTTCAGATAAGAATTTTCAGAACAATAAATATAATAATAGTTTTATTTCTTAGGTTATGATGACTCAGAAGAACTTAATAAGCACATCATCAAGGTTCATACAGGACATAGGCCATATTCTTGTCAGTATTGTCCAAACAGTTTTGGAGAATCAAATAGTTTGAAGACTCACATAAAGAGGTAAAAATCAGATTTTTTCGGTCACCAATTATATTCCATTTTTTGAAATTGAAACATGATTTGTATAAAGGTAGACATTAAATTTGTTATTGTTCATAATAAATTTGTTACAGAATCCACCAAAAATCTCTGCTAACTCAAGAGACAAACAGTGCTCTTATAGGCCTACAATTTGATTTGCCATTAGAGAATTCTTTGAACATTTAATTTAAACTACTTATAGCTGTTACGTTTTTTTGATCTTAAAGATTTACATATTGTATTCTAATTTTGTATAATATTTCTTAAAATATATCTATATTTCTTGTAATGTGTTTTTTATTGATTTTATTTATTTTTAATAGTGAATTTAATAAAATTTTAGACATATAATAATATATTATAATATAGAAGGGGTAGTAGAAGGAACTATTAAATAAAAGACACATTTTTTATCAATTTTAATAATATGGATTTCGTCTGAAACAGGATATAATTATTTGTAAAAGTCCAAAACCCACCTCTGTGAAAGTCAGCATCACTGATAGAGAATTTAGAATGTGTTCCAACTTGAAAACAGGATTTTGATAGAAGAAGGTGTATATTAATCCTGATATAGTAATGCAAGTGAATAGTACTGCAACTCCAGTCACTAAATCTACAAATAAACAAAACGTTATAAGTATGTTTATTAACTTATAAAATTTTATTACTTATTTTCTTTTATAAGAATATAGTAAATGCTCGTTTATGCGCTCATTTCTGTCTATACTGAGTATAACGAGTATACGCATAGTTCTCAGAGAAATAAGTAAATCTAGAGGAGTTCTAAAATATTTTTTGATACAAACCTAACATTTTTTACATCTTGCAATGTTGCCCTTGCCATACATTTTTCATGAAAATCGGTTGGGCACAAATTTAAAATATGTATTGGAGAAATTTACCGACATTTGATTATTAACATGTTGGAGCGCCTCTATGGTAACTTATTTCTCTCATGTTCCTATAATATTAAAGAATATCTACTCTACGATTTATTTTATTTAAAATTCTATTAACAATCACTGTAAAGTAATTTTTAGTTGTGAAATATTACCAGAATATTCCAAAAAATCTCTTACTTCTGTTTTCTTCCTTGAATTTTCTGTAAAGCAGGATCTTAGTGAGTTCACAGGATATCCTAGTGAACACTACGGCGGCATCCTGTCCAATTTTCGGTGTGGGAATGACACTTTGGTACTTGGCTATGGTCATGATGGTTTCACATATGGCAAACACCGGGAAATAGAACATGTTCAAGTAAATGAGACATTCGAACATTAATTCTGCGTCTACGTTCATTCTCGTACTAGAACTTCTTGTAGAGAAATCATATAGTAGAGCCTTAGCTGCTATTTTTAAAAATAAGCTTTTTTAGAATCTATTTTTGGAACGTTTTTAGATATGTACAGCGGCGGCCCTCTGTAGTGTCGTATTATTTTTTTAATAATTATTTATTCAGTTCATGAGTCCAAGAAGTATTTTAAGGGGTGGTGTAAGTTATATCCAGATCTAACATAAAATACACATATTTTTTATTTGCCATTTTTGTAATAAATTGAAAATAACCGAGTTACTTAACATACATCTACCGCACAATAAAACACTAATTCACCACAATACACCAAAACGCTTTTCTAATACTGAACGCTTGTTTTTTGCTAACCATGTTAGCCAGTGGCGCATCTAGAGACTGAGTCTGGGGGGAGTAGTGGCAATGTGGCAATCTTTAAGTAAACTACTAGATTTAAATTAAATTTGCGTTGAAAAGTTTTATTACTGCGGAAAAAATAAACTTGAATTCGTCTAGATTTCCTACTCTGATTGGCATTGTTAATTTTTTTATTTTAGAAATTTTTACACCACATTTTATTTACACCACATTTTATCTTATTTACAAAATTCTTCTAGGGAGGGATAATTACCCCCATTGCCCCTCCCGCCCCTGATGTTAGCATCATCAGCAGATGATTATAACTGCTAGTTTAATTTGGCAAACAGCAATATAAAACACTAATTCACCTGATGAATTAGTGTTTTATTTGATGTGGGTGATGGCGTTGCATCACTTCAAAATATTGTAATACGTTTTTATTCAAAAAAGTCACTGAGATCTCCTATAATAAATTAAGATTCTCAGTAAATTTATTCAAATAATTAAATTCAATTTCAATTATTTAATGTGTGTATTGGTCGAGCTTTATATATTACGCTAAGACCCAGTGGCGGCTCGTGAGTTTATGGGAAGGTGAGGCTACATGAGGTTAATAATTTTGTTTAAATACGAATAAATTTTCTCACCTATGAAATATTATTCTGCGATGCGTTATTTCCTTTTTTTAATGGTATCAAACTTTAACTAATAAAAACTAAAATTATTTGTTGCGTTGAATTTTAAAAACTGCTAAAATTCCACCTTACCTGTGTGTAATCGAGTTAAAAATATTCTGTATCTAATTGCCATCAAATAATTTAAATTTATAAACACAAACAATCTAAATAATTCTCGCCCTAAATCTATACTGATATATAAAATCCTTAAGTGACTGACATACTGATTAATCACGATCCTGCTCAAACTACTCAACGTAAGAAGCTCAATTTTGGCATACAGGTTGATTCTAGGGTGTAGAGGTTCGATAAGAAGGGATTTTTCGAAATTCCAGTTCCAAGAGGGTGAAACCACCCCTCAAATATTACAATATTTTTTATTGTATTACAATATTTATTATGTAAAATAAAGGCAATTTATTATTATTTTCATCTGTATCATTTTCTCGACTTGTCGGGGATTGTCGGGGATCATCTTTCCAACGGGCTAAGCCAAGTTGGAAGATTCTTAATCTATAGTTGGCTATTGTAGTATGTTAGGTGCATGGTTTCCACTGAGAAATCTCCTTACTATTATTATTATTATTATTATTATTTAAAAAACGGTCAAGTTTCCGAAAGAACGCTTAAACACGTATATTTTATTTTGTTTTTTACATATTTTAAGATTTTTTCAAAATTATACAGGGTGTTTCGAAAAATCTGGTCATTGATTAATCACGATCCTGCTTAAAGCGCTTGACGTAAAAAGCTGATTTTTGGCAAACGGATTGACTGTGGGGTGTAGAGGTTCGATAAGGAGGGGTTTCTCGAATCTCAAATTCCAAGAGGTTGAAAACGCCTCTCAAATATTACAATATTTGTTATTTAAAAAACGGTTAGTCTTTCGAGAAAATGCTTGGACAAGCATAATTTATTTGTTTTTTTTTTACATATTTTGAAATTTTTTAAAAAATCATACAGGGTGTTCCAAAAAGTTGGGTAATTTCTTAACCACGATTTTGCTTAAACCGCTTGACGTAAAAAGCTTATTTTTGGCAAGCGGATTTTTCGAAAGTCAAATTCCAACGAGATGACACTATCCATCAAAGATTACCAAGTTATATAATAATATCGCCATATTGTTTTTTCTCATGTTGACATAAATGTGAGAAAATTTTATCCAGTTTGTATGTTAATGGAAATTCTTGCTTTGCTTTATCATCACCATTACAAATGATTAATTCGACGCGAACGAAGTCGCTGGTACACGCTAGTGTTTAAATAAAATAAAAAATATACGCTAATTAATTCACCCACGCTGTTCTAACCATAACCGGCCAGCCACCGGCACTTTAACTTCATGAGTCATGCATACGAGGTCGACACTTTGTCGCATGTTTCAATAGTCAGATGATTTAAACTACCAATGAAAACACACCCAAGCGCCAAATATCGCGCCTCAACCACGCCTTAACCCTGCGATCGAGAATGCGTACCCCATCGCGTCACCGGCGTGACATGATCTTAAATCGTCGCTGCTAATAGGTAGGCAATTCGAACTTTCCAAGCTAGAAAATTGTTTCGCCTCTGTGTGCCTCTGTCGAGTCGCGTTCTTTTTGGCTGGGTTTACGCGGCTTATTTTGTGCCTGGACCTGGATGTATTCATAAAATATATATTTTTTAGTTTTATTATGTTGAATGTGTTGTAGAATTGTAATAAGTTATACTGGGATTAAATAAAAAACTAGATACAAAAAAATAAATCGTTCCTTCATTTTAAAGGTGAGGCGCGGCTTCAGAGGCCTACCCTGACGAGCCGCCACTGCTAAAGCCTACGCTAAATGCCAAAAATAAAAATATCTCGACAGCGCGATGATGCGACTGTCCTCGTTAGTTACATTTGTGGTAATATCTTGAACGTGTCTTGAACGTCTCCGAACGCGAGCGGATAGCCGGAGAGCTGGCGACATATTTAGAGAACATATTTTAGGCAAGTTAAAATAACAAAAAAATTAAAGTTTATTAACTGGTGAACCCAGAATCCTGAGTCGGGCAGGGACTTTGCGGGTATTTTGCTACTGCGCATCCCCTTATATTTGCAAAAAAATAAATCCAAAAAATATCCTTTAGGCAACTTGAAATTTGTTTATTCTTAAATTTTAGCATCTTTTTAATCCAGAAATAAGTATGCCAGACTTTTTTCGGTTTTAAAGTGTAACCCGACCATCCCAAATGTGTTTAAATGATTATACCTCGAAAATATACTTTAGGCATTCTAAAATTTTTACAGCGTGTTTATTAGATAATATTAAAAATATGTGTTAATTGCCAGACGAATTCAACGGTTTTTAATACTCGCCTGACGCGAATAAAGATTTTAAATGAGCGCGACAAAAAAGTCTTATGAGTATCTATAAGCGCGAGAAAGATAGTTTATTGAAACTCGTCGGCAGCAGACGGGGCTGACGTAACAGTATTTTACACTGTTTATATACTTTCATCTGTTTCATCAAAGTCGAGTTAAAAAAAACAATATTTTCGGCATAATTACAATATACATTCTTACATAATTACAATTATAACATTCAAAATCAATTATCTGATAATTTTAATTGTTACTTTAGAAATTATAGTTAAATTATTGATTCACAAAAATCTATAGAAAACTAAAATGTAAACAACTTTTATTTTAATTTTTTTTTGTTACAGTTAACTTTATTAATATGTAAAAAAAGAAATTACAGAAAATGTGTCAATTGTGGCAGTAATATATAATAAAAGTCTGACAAAACACAGAAGTCAGATAAGAAAAAAAAGGGTCGCCTAAAATACAGATTGTTGTTTTCCACACTTCCAGTTTTACTAAAAACTTATAAAATAAACTTTTATAAAATAAGCGTTGTCTATATTATTTTTAATACATAAATAATAAATACCAATTGAAAAGTAGGTAGTGGACTTGATTACCTGATGAAGATGTTGATTGTTTAGGAAGTGTATTTGAGGATTTTAATGTCTGTTTCTTCATAACAGCTGAAAAGTTCCTGTAGCACTGTGTATGGTACTCTTTTGTCGGGGATACATTTTCTGGTAAAACCACTTCTTTGAATTTTAGGCCATGTTGGCTTTAAAAAATTGTTTATAAGATATTTATCCTTAAAACTAATAGTTACTAAAATATTTATTTGCAGTAATTATTCTAAACTATTTACACTATGCACCTCAATATTTAGTTTATAAATACATATAATATATTTCTACATGGTAACTTAATTGCAACAATCTCTAAATTAAAAGCCTGCAAATAATTGAAATGAAACCGAAAAAAATTGTGTTTATGAAAATTTTAAGTACTCCAAAATACTGTTCCGTCAGCCGCGTCTTCTGCCGACGAGTCTCGTTAAATTATCTATCTCGCGCTTATAGATACTCATAAGACTCTCTTATCGCGCTCATTTAAAATATTTATTCGCGTCAGGCAAGTATTAAAGACCGTTTATAATAAAGCTTGATTTTCATGCATCCGTTATACGTTGATACCTTTGGTTGATACGATGGTCCGACGGTGCTCTGATTGGTCATAGTGTTTTCGCGCCACTTTTCATCTGTAAATATTTTACTTCTGCCCGTCAACGGACCCGTTCATACGATAACGGACGTTTTGACACTTTTTTGACTAATTTAATCTAACCTTAATAAAAATATAAGTAAATTAGCAAAATCGTTATGGAAACGAAAATATAAAATGACACCAACGTATATCCGATAAACGGAGGCATGAAAATGCAATAAATTTAAAAACTGCGTTATTTTCTAACCAATCAAAATCTTTAAATTCTACCAATAAAATTAATATCGTATCAACGTATCGTCAACGGATGCATGAAAATCAAGCCTATTCGTCTGGCAATTAACACGTTTATTAATATTATCTAATAAACGCGCTGTAAAATGTTAGAATGTCTAAAGTATATTTTCGAGGTATAATAATTAAACATATTTGGGATGGTCGGGTTACACTTTAAAACAGAAAAAAAAGTGTGGCATACTTATTTCTAGGTTAAATAGATGCTAAAATTTAAGAATAAACAAATTTCAAGTTGCCTAAAGGATATTTTTTGGATTTATTTTTTTGCAAATATAAGTTGCGCAGTAGCAAAATACCCGCAAACTCCCTGCCCGACTTCGGATTCTGGGTTCACAACAGTTCACACCAGCTACTAAACTTTATTTTTTTTGTTAAACTGTCTGGGTTTCTGAAACACATCGCGGTATAAAATTAAAAAAAATCGTCGCGCGCCCCGATGCCCGATTCTGGAGTGCGGCTGTAAAATAGAAATAATTTTGTAATCATCCTTCAGTTCTAGGGTGTATTCAGAAAAAATAAAAACTATTGAAAAGGACCTCCAAAGTATATTTTGAATATATTAATACCTTTGTTTAATACTAAATTAAAATCGTGTATTCGTCATTTTAGTGAAAATGTTTATAAAAGTGAGCATTGTTTATGTGGTTGTAAGGCACTCAATAAACTTTTTATTGATTTAGTGTACTATTTTCCAAGGAGAAAAATGTATGGAATACTACTACGGGCTACGATGATTTAGGATAAACTTTGAAAGTTCATTACTAGAGAGTATGCGTTCTTCTCCTTCATTTGAAGAAAATGTATTAAAAGTTTATGCAAATATGCATACTAGAAGAATTGATTAATTATAAAATTTAAAATCTAACAGATATGTTCATAGATTTGTTTTTTAGCCGACCATACCGACAGGTATAGTAGGCTATATATAAGATCGGCAAAAAAAAAGTTTTTTTAATTACACTCAAAATGAGTTATTTGGGTCATAAATAACCTAAATACAAAATATTTTCATGGTGTCTGTCTGTCTGTCCGTCTGTAACACGATAACTCAAAAACCGCTAAACAGATTTTAACCAAATTTGGCACAAAAATACTGTGACACCCGAGAATCTGGCCATTAGTTTTTCGTGGGGGTAGGGGGTTAGGAATAATATTTGCAACAAAATTTGTAATAACATGAAAATCAGTCAAAGTCGCACAGTTTTTGAGATAAAAAAATATCAAGTATGGGCGGCTATACGTGCTTACCGGCGCCAATTTTTTTACCTAAATTTAGTCCTTTTTGAGTACGTCAAGTGAATAAACTGAAGTGAACCAAAAAATCACTCACTAAAGTCACATCACTTCCTTCTAAGAATACTACTAATAAACTACCTATCATAAGTAATTTCTGTGAACAAACGTTTCGAACATCGTCAATTCGACGTGCTCATGAAAAAAATATTCATGGGATGGAGTAAAACATACACAATGGCCGCCAAAAGGTATCAAACTAATGAAATATGTGGCAGAAGAGTTAGTAGAGTATCTTCAGTTTTAGTTTGCTATTTTTTATAATAATAATAGCTCCCGTATATAGCGTTTAACGCCTTGGGAGTAGCAAGGTACAGCTTGCCATACTAGAGCCGTTCGGTATACAAGGAAGGTAATGTGGCTAGCACTACGCTTCAACCGCATATTATTACCTCAGGATTGTGAATCCCAAGTACTCATGGTGGCTGAGTCGACCTAGGTACCCAAACTATTTTTATTTTAATAAAATAGTCGGCTGCTGCAATGCCGGGTGCCGGGTGTGGGAATCGAACCCACTACCTTGAGATTGGTAGACGAGAGCCTGTACCTGTACGCCACCGGGCACCTTCTACTATTTTTTATACCATATTTTATATTTTTGTTGAAGAACATAGGTTTTATACAGGATGTCCCAGAAATAAGTGCAAATATTTTAAGGGGTGGTGGATCTCGATAGAAGAAACCAAAGAAGAAACATATTTTCTCTTTATCGTTTTTCAAATAAGTCCAAAATAACGGAGTTATTTTACTTATTTCCAAAACTTATTTCTTACTCCAAAACTTATTTCCAAAAAAAAAATGATTTTTTGCTAAAATTTTGAGAACCACTGGATCATTACTGGATTTTCTTTCTTGTAAATTTAATCTAATACCTATGTTGCCATATTATCAAGGAATTATGTTTCTTAACTAAAAACTAAAAAAATTTCCAAAAAATTTTTCAAAATATTTTGAATTTTCAATTTTTTTTTTCGCGAAAAAAACCTCATAGGCGTTGTTTCTGGGGCTGAACTATACTACCAGTTAAAATACTTGCACTTATACGGGTTTTTAGGTCATCAATTATATCGATTTTTAAAAATTGAAACATGATTTGTATAAAGGTAGACATTAAATTTGTTATTGTTAATAATAATAAAGTTACAGAGAATTCACCAAAAATCTCTGCTAACTCAAGAGACAAACGGTGCTCTTATAGACCTACAATTTGATTTGTCATTAGAGAATTCTTAGAACATTTTAATTTAAACTTATATCTGTTACGTCTTTTTGATCTTAAAAATTTACATATTGTATTCTAATTTTTGTATAATATTTCTTAAAATATATCTATATTTTCTTATAAAGTATTTTTTACTGATTTTATTTAATTTTTTTAGTGAATTTAATAAAATTTTAGACATATTTATAATTAACCTAGAAACATTATAATATAGAAAGGGTAGTAGAAGGAACTATTAAAAAAAACATATTTTTTACCAATTTTAATAATATGGATTTCGTCTGAAACAGGATATAATTATTTGTAAAAGTCCAAAACCCACCTCTGTGAAAGTCAGCATCACTGATAGAGAATTTAGAATGTGTTCCATCTTGAAAACAGGATGTTGATAGAAGAAGGTGTATATTAATCCTGATATAGTAATGCAAGTGAATAGTACTGCAACTCCAGTCACTAAATCTATAAATAAACAAGGCGTTAAAAGTACGTTTATTAACTTATAAACTTTTATTACTTATTTTCTTTTATAAGGATATAGCGTAAATGCTCATTTCTGTCTATAAAGACCCATATTAACAACATGTTGCGGCAACTTGTTGACAACTTTTATGACGTCCACATTCAAAAAGTTGGAAATTGGAAGCCCGATGCAACATTTTTATTGTATAGTCCACAGATCACATAACAAAATTAAACGTGAGACCAAATAAACGAAAAACGAATACAAAAAGCCAGTGTGGACGTAATCGCAACATGTTGCCAACACAATGTTGTCAACATTCTTTGATCTTTACCGCTCCTGACGGAAAACATACAACTTGTTGAAAAATCATGCAACTTGTTGCTTTTTAATGAAATTTTCGTAAACATGTTGCTCAACATTGTTTTCAAGTGTAGACGCGGCTTAACGAGTATTATTATAGGCATACTTCTCAGAGAAATAAGTAAATCTAGAGGAGTTCTAAAATATTTTTTGATACAAACCTAACATTGTTTTACATCTTGCAATGTTGCCCTTGCCATACATTTTTCATGAAAATCAATTTAGCACAAAGTTAACTATGTATCGCAGAAATTTAATGACATTTGATTATTATTATTATTAAGATGTTGGAACGCTTCTATGGTAACTTATTTCTCTCATGTTCCAATAATATTAAAGAATATCCACTCTACGATTTATTTTATTTAAAATTCTATTAACAGTAACTGTAAAGTATTTTTTAGTTATCAAATATTACTAGAATATTCCAAAAAATCTCTTACTTCTGTTTTCTGCCTTGAATTTTCTGTAAAGCAGGATCTTAGTGAGTTCACAGGATATCCTAGTGAACATAACTGCGACATCCTGCCCAATTTTCGGTGTGGGAACACTTTGGTACTTGGCTATAGTCGTGATGGGTTCACAGATGGCAAACACCGGGAAATAGAACATGTTCAAGTAGATGAGACATTCGAACATTAATTCTGCGTCTACGTTCATTCTCGTTCTAGAACTTCTTGTAGAGAAATCATATAGTAGAGCCTTAGCTGCTATTTTGAAAAATAAGCTTTCTTAGAATCTATTTTTGGAACGTTTTCCGATATGTACAGCGGCGGCTCTCTGTATTTGTGCGGGAGATTGTATAGATAGATACATAGATAAATCTTTATTAATTCCAAGTAATACACTTATATAAATTGACCCAAGATGGGTGTGGAATATGTTAACAAAAACACAAGATACTAAAACACTCATAAATTTATCCTAATATAAACATGATTCCTTAAAATACTTTTCTGAAGAGTCTATGTACTGTATTTTGTACTTCACTAGGGGTGCAAGGGGTATTGAAGAGATTCATATAGCCTAGCTTACCCAAAAGTCAACCTCACCTTCACGTGGTGCACCCTGTTTAAACAAACGAGGCTCTGACGTCCGAGTATAGACGGTATATTCTTTACAACCCTCAGACGTACCACCTTTCTGGGAAAGAGAAGTAGTCAACTACTCCTAGCCGGCCGAGAACGTAGCACAAGGGAACTATCGTCGCAGCCCTCACTGTGGCATAGCCATCCCGTGCTACAGTTGCAGCCATAAAACACAGGTTGCAGCCAAACTGTGCGGCAGCGTAACCGTCACAGTTGAACCTTTTTACGCAGCTAACCCTCATCAAAGATGGAACATTCGAGTAGGACAAAATCATCGTCCGAAGGTGAAATACCCCCTCGATCAGATCTCCAGAAGGGGGTGCAACTAAGCATCGTCAATGTTTCACGTTTGCGGCGTGGAACGTCCGCACTCTATTGGATAGGACAAACCCCATTCAACCAGAGAGAAGAACAGCACTGATCTCACAGGAACTCTACCTACTAGATAACAACTTAAAGGAGGAGCATTACACCTTCTTTTGGAAGGTTCACCCCGCTACACACAAGAGAATTCATGGCGTAGGCATTGCAATCAAAAACGAAATCGCCACCAAATTAACAGAAGTACCTATTGGTGTCTCCAAACGTCTTATGACTCTAAAGTACCCCATATCAGACAAAATTTGCCCAAAAATCGTCAGCATCATAAGTGTCAGTCTCACAAAAGCCAGGGTATATGCCGAATGTGGCACTGACCACCGACTTTTAATTTCAAAAATGAAAACCCAGTTAAAACCCAAACATTCACACTGTAAAAAACAAAACTACATGACCAGATTGAACGTAGAGGTCTAGAGAACAACGATACCGCCGACGCCCTCTGGGAAGCCATCAAAGAATCACTTCCACCGATAACTTCAATCTCAATTGTGGATGCTGAACAAGGCTGGACACAGCTAAGAGATGCGATTCATAAAACCAGCGAAGCAGTACTGCTAAAATCCAACCAAAAGAAACAACCAGACTGGTTTAACGAAAATCAACCGCATATATAGGCTTTGTTGGAACAAAATCATAGAGCGCATCAAGCCGTCACTGCAAATCCACACAATCCAAGATTAGCAGATAACTTTAAAGCAGCCAACAACACGCTTCGAAGAAACCTGCGCCAACTAAAGGATAACTGGTGGTCGCAAAAAGTTAATCAGATTCAAGAATATGCCACGCATCACGACTATCGTAAATTCTTCGAGGCTGTAAAAGAAGTATACGGCCTAACTAAGAAGGCAATCATGACACAAAATGGCGAACTTCTAAAAGAAGAAGAGCAAATAAGAAACCGCTGGAAAGAGCATTACAGCCATATCCTTAACCAAGAAAACAACCCCAATATGGAAGCACTCAACACAATACCTCAGTATAACAGCCTCGATGTATTAGATATCCCAATAACAAAACAGGAAATAAAGGACTCTATAAAACAGCTTAAAAACAACAAATCAGCTGGCTGTGACGCGATTCCGGCGGAAATCTATAAGTGTGCAAGTAAAGAACTTATTCATCTTAAGGCTCTCTTCGATGTCATATGGGAAAGTGGAGAGGTACTTCAGGACTTTTGCAACGCAAATATAGTGAATATATTTAAGAACAAAGGAAGTGCATCAGACTGTGGAAACTACCGAGGAATTTCACTACTGCATGGCTATCGGAGGAAAAATTCTTGCAAAAATTATGTCAAACCGCCTGCACCCACATATAGAAAAAATCCTCTCAGAATCGCAAACGGGTTATCGCACCAACCGTGGCACTCTCGATTTCATATTCTCCATCCGCCAACTACAGGAAAAAGTGAAAGAGCAGCAGTCTAAACTTTATGTTGCATTCATCGACCTAACAAAAGCCTTCGACTCTGTTAACAGAGATGCACTTTGGGCAATTATGAAAAAGTTCGGAGTACCCAACAAATTTCTTACAGTGTAAAAGCCTCCATAACAATAACAAGTCAAGATGGTCCACGATGGTGACACTCATCATGGATCCCTATGAAGCAATCCCTTCCTAACAGACACGGAGTTAGGCAGGGATGTGTCTTAGCGCCTCCCCTATTTAATATATTCATGGCAGCGCTCTCCATTATAGTGAACAGCAAACTGTAGGAGAGAGGTTTGGGCATTAGATATAGATACGACGGCGGTCTGTTCAACATAAAAAGACTCAGAGCAAAAACACGTACAAAATTCATCACAGAACTTCAACTCGCTGATGACTGTGCTCTAGTTGCAAATACGTTACAGCAATTGCAAGAAATGTTGAACATATACCTGGGCATACGAGGCTTTGGGACTTAGCTGAACATCGATAAAACTAAAATCATGTGCACTCCCCGAAAGACCACAACAATGCTATAAAAATCGGAGAAGAACTATTGGAATATGTAGCGGAATTCAATTACCTCGGCAGTTTGATTTCGGAAAAGGCCAATATCGACTCTGAAATTCAGCACAGGATTAGCAGCGCCTAATTAAAAGACAGGGTTTTCTACAATCATGACTTGAGTACAAAAACGAAACTTGCAGTGTACAGAGCAATAATAATTCCCACCATGATATATGGAAGCGAAACCTGGGTGCCGTACCGCCGACACATGAACGCATTAAATAAGTTGCAACAGAGACATCTTAAACTCTTAAGAATCAAATCCATAAGATCCAAATTCTTAAGAATCAGTTCCATCATGTCTCAAACGTATCGGTCCGGTCCTTGAAAAAGCTAACTGCAAGAGTATTGAAGTCATGATTACAAAGTCCCGCTTAAGATGGGCTGGTCACGTATGCAGAATGCAAGAAAACCGCATACCAAAATCTCTGCTTTACGGTGAGCTTGTAGACGGTAAGAGGAGCCCGGGAGGACAACTCAAAAGGTACAAGGATATTTTTCGCGGAAACTTAAAGGGGATTAACAAGCAGAATGAGTTGGAAAAAGCAGTTCACAACAGAACGGAATGGAGCAGAATTGTAAACTCAGTTAACAGCTACAACCAAAAAGTAAAGAGGCAACAGAGCAATGAGATCCAGCAATGGGTTCGGAGTGCGGTAGACAGATAACATCACGTATCGGGCTTTTCAGTCACAGAAAAGCTCATGAAAGGAAACGCCTTGTGGGACCATCTTCTAATGCGTGTCAAATACTCGTCAACGACTAATGGCAGTAGTAGTAGTACTGTATTAGGTACATTTTTTTCTTATCTGCATAGAATTCATCTAGCGTATAAAATGCCTTGTCTAATAAATATTTCTTTAGGGTTAACAGTAATCTTAGTCTAGGTAAACCAGTAACTGAGAGTGGGAAAGTATTATATATCTTTAATTATAATGCTGTGCTTCACATTCTTCTGTACATACCGCGTGTAATTGCTCTTGTCGGTTTGTAACATATCTCTATTAAATTTCTGGTACGGTGTTGATGTTTTAACTCTGGTTCTTTAAAGATACTTTTATTGTCGTAAACAAATACTACCTACCGCATCCAGGAAATACATAGAAATGATTGTTAGTATTTTGCATTCTATGAAAAATCTGTGACAACTTTCACGATAACTTATTAACGTTGTATATTATATAAAATACAGGGGTGTCGTACTATTTTTTTAAGTTTTATTTATTCAGTTCAAGAGTCCAAGAAGTATTTTAAGGGGTGGTGTAAGTTTTATGCAGATCTAGAGCATAAAATACACATATTTTTTATTTGCCATTTTTGTAATAAATTGAAAATAACCGCGCGTTTTTTGCTAACCATATGTTAGCCAGTGGCGCATCTAGAGACTGAGTCTGGGAGGAGTAGTGGCAATATTTAAGTAAAGTACTCTAGATTTAAATTAAATTTTGCGTTGAAAGGTTTGGCTACTGCGGAAAAAATAAACTTGGATTCGTCTAGATTTTCTATTCTGATTGGCATTATTAATTTATATTTTATACCACATTTTATCTTATTTACAAAATTCTTCCAGGGAAGGGTAATTATCCCCATTGCCCTTCCTACTCCTGATGTTAGCATCATCAGCAGATGATTAAAACTGCTAGTTTAATTTGGCGAACAGCAATATAAAACACTAATTCACCTGATGAATTAGTGTTTTATTTGATGCGTCGCATCCCTTCAAAATATTGTAATACCTACGTTTTTATTCAAAAAAGTCATTGAGGTCTCCTATAATAAATTAAAATTTTCAGTAAATTTATTCAAATAATTAAATTCAATTTCAATTATTATATGTGTATTGCTCGGGCTTTATAGATTACGCTTCGACCTACGCTAAACGCCAAAAATAAAAATATCTCGACAGCGCGATGATGCGACTGTCATCTTTACATCTTGAATGTCTCCGAACGCGAGCCGAGGTCAGCGTACTTTCCGGCCGCAATTATGCCTCCCGTTCGCAGTTTTAAGGTACGCGCACACTGACCAGAGCCGCACGCGCCGCATTGACCGAAGATAACATAGATTAAATGAAGCGATGCGGCTGTGGCTAGTGTGCGCACCTTCATTGAAAATAACACAAACAATATTTTTTTTCGGTATCGCATCGGCGGCGCGTGCGGCTCTGGTCAGTGTGCGCGTACCTTTAGTCGGTGGGTGATGTGCTTTCTGTCTAATTAAAATCGTATATTGGTCATTTTAGTGAAAATGTTTATAAAAATGAACATTGTTTATGTGGTTATAAGGCACTCAATAAACTTTGTTGACCTAGTGTACTATTTTCCAAGAAAAATGTAGGGAATACTACCGGCTACGATGATTTATGATGAACATTGAAAGTTCATTACTAGAGTATGCGTTCTTCTCCTTCATTTGAAGAAAATGTAATTAAAAAAGGTTGGGCAATATGCATACTATAAGAATTGATCTTAATGATAAAATTAAAATCCAATAACAGATATGTTCATAGCTTTATTAGGTTCGTTTTTTTTACCTAAATTTAGTTCTTTTTGAGTACTTTAAGTGAATAAACTTCAAGTGAACTAAAAACCACTTTCACTAAAATCGTATCACTTGCTCCAATTGTAATCAGAACGAAAAAATACTACTAATAAACTATCATAAACTACCTATAGTAAAAAACACTTTATTGTACTGAATAAAGAAATATATTTAGAATAATCAAAATACTCTTAAAAGTACACTTTACATAATAGGAATGACATTAACAGAAATCATTAATATTTCAATAGAGAAAAACATATAGATAACAAAAAATAATGGCTTTTTTCAACAAAATACAAAATAAAATGCAATGCACTTTCTATACACTTTGCAGCATATAGAAACAAAGTTATAAAAATATTATTAACACCATTATTAATTGCTTCTACTAAAGAAAAAATATAAGAAAATTTTTTTGGTATTTTTTATTTTTTTTTCCTTTTTTTGATTAATTATTTACCATAACTTTGTGACCATATTTTAAGGGGATAAATATATATGTCGTCGCATAAAACAATTTGTTTTACTCCTTTCCTTGATTATTATCTTAATTCTATATTTAAAAAAATGTTACTTCTAGAGTCTAAAATTCTAACCTAAAAAAATTCTATATTAGTAAAGGCGACCTATATTATATATATTTTGAATTATCTTACTCTAACAGTTAAAACCTGTGATTTAGTAAATAGTGATGCCATCTAACATGATAAACACTGTTTATTTCGTTGCGAATAAAGAAAAATTGGCGGTAATGCTTTGGGGGTCCCCTAAACTACACTAACCTAACCTAACTAAGTGGGTTGCTTATTTAAATAACCAATGAAAGGAGATCCGAGGCTGGTCTGGGGGTGGATTACTCGTCGATGTTGTAGAGCATGCAGATGTTGCCCTGGGCAAGCTGGGGAGGTATTAGGGGCGAATTGGGGCTCAAAACTGCAAAGCCGAGGAACATGAAGGTTCGCACGAGGGTCGGGCGATCGGATCTGTCAGCTTTGAACACCTAAAAATGGAAAATTTAAGCTGGAAAAAGTTTTATAGCAATAGAAAACAAAACACTTCGTATACAGGGTGGTCCGAACTGTATTCAGGAAACTGGCACGAAGAAAATAAAAAAACTGCATATTGTGCAGACTAAAGTAAGTAAAAAAGTTCGTATAAATGTTTGTCGTAAAATGCTTAGTTTTGGAGATACAGGCTGTAGAAGTTTCATTTTTATTTCGATTTTTTCCAAATAATTTCTGAAATAGCGTCAATATTTGGATGAAAATTTGTATCTGGGAGTTTTTTGACATAGATAGTGTAATAACCTTTCGTATAGTATCTGTAAAAAATTACCAAGTAAAAAAATATACATTTACGACGTTTATTAGGAAAAAAAGGTCTCTTGGTAAAACAAGCTACGAGCAACCATTCTCAAGATATTTAGAATGAAAATAGTGAGTACATTGGCAAAAAATAAACATGCTCATTAGATATTTATTTGATTGAAATGAAAAATTTGGGAACTTTTTATTTATTTAAATTAATCATAAATTTTTCTTCGAAAAAATGATGATAAAACATTTATGATTTCAGTCTAATAATATAATTATCTAGCCAACATATGTTTAATTTATGCCTATGACATACTGATAATTTAGATTCCAAATATCTCCAGAGCATTACGCGTTATATTTTTACCAAGAGCCCTTTTATACGTAAAAAACGTCGTAAATGTATATTTTTTTATTCAATAGTTTTATCCAGGGACCGACGAAAAATTAGCTTCTTTCCAACTTCGACAAAAACTGTTCAATGTACGGTCACGGTCAAGCGCACTATGTTAAACGCGTTCCAACCGAGAGATGATCGTTTACCTTAAGATTTCATCTGCGTTCCAACCAAACTTGTGACTGTCAAAAAACCAGTTTCGCTATCGTCATTTTTTCATCGCTCAGGTTAAAAGCAGAAACCGTGTGGGCCGATAAATGACATGCGCAATTTAATTTTAGTTGAAACATCAAAGCTCGAATCGAACCTAACCTAGTATAATCTGTGATAATATAAACTATTGTTTGCTATTTTTTATATAAAGTTTTATGAACAACGTGTAAACAACAAAAACAAAAAAAACATTTATGCTCTGGTTTAGGTTAGACCTGCTAGTCTTCTTTTCCTTCTCTATCTGAAAGGAGGAATGACAAATACGTCTTATAAAACGGTTCTAAAACCGTTCCAACCTGAAGTTTGTGTACCGAAATAGAACCGTACGAAGTCAACGCCTGTAACTGCAATCAATGCTAGGGGTTCCGAAACCGTTTCGTGACGATACGAAAACGTGGAGTTGGAACGGAACTATTAGTAGTCTTCAAATCAGTTAAAATAAATGTTGGTAGCGCCCCCTATAAGTAGGAGTCATATTGACATTGAATCGAAAATCATCAGATTTCTTATGTTAAAAAACTTTCAGGTACTAATTTTCGTCCAAATACCGAATTTAGTTCAGAAATTTAGGACAAAATGAAACTTCTACACCCTGTATCTACGAAACTAAGCATTTTAAGACGTAAGTTTATACGAACTTTTTTACTTATTTTTATGTGCAGAATATTCTGCCGAAGTTTCCGGCATACAGTTCGGACCACCCTGTATATTTTCAGTAAACGTTAACTATAATCACAAAGTAAAAAAATAAGGAAAGTTACCACAACTACGTGCTTGCATTTGAGCTTCTCTTCAGCTGCCTCCAATAGAGCTACAAACGCCTCCTTGCTCCCTTCGACCAAATGAGGAGGAGGTGTGACATAAAGTACTCCTTCCCGAAGAACTGCGTCCCATGGCTGACCTACGCTTCTAGAATTTGAAATAACGGTATTAAAAAATTATATCGATATTTTAAAAATATCAATTAGAGTTATATGTTATATCAGTTTTATGAACTAGTGTAACTAGTGTTGTTCTTGCAGTTTATCCAACAAATTTGTTAATCCAACAAATACTTAGAGAGTTCAACTAACTAACTCTAAAACGTCTTCAAATTTATATTTTATTAATAGTTAAATTTACACACAGTTTTTCAAAACTGCGAAGTTTAATAATTCACAATTATGAATTTGTGAATTTCGATATTATTTAATATCTCCTACCTGGAATTGGCCCCACCGTTACCCGCTGTCCTAAAAGACAAGCGAACGGGCTGTTGCTGCTGTTGCGACGACAGAGGGAGGTTCCGAGTGCCTCCCGCTGGTGGTCCCCTGGTCGCGTCGCCAGGGGCATCAGGACCACCACAGAGGCCCCGCGCCCAGAGACATGTTGAAGCAGTCGGCGGCGGAGACGGACGCTGCAGAACGCTTCTGACTCAACATCGAACTTCTACAAAGGAAGAAAAACGTATAAAAAATAAAGAATTTTCAGAAAAAAATCGATCCCTTAAACTATTTTAAATCTACATTTAGAGTTGTACAAACATAGCCTAAATTCGGAGTTCAAGTAAACTCTGAAAATCGCTGAACTCGCGTTTAAGCTATTAGTCTAAGAGCTAGCAACGTTTTTGAACAAGTATTTTAAGAAAGCTGGCTCTTTGATATATCTTTTACTATGCTCTCTGGAACAGCATGCGGGCCGTCTGGCTGCCCATACATGTTGCATTCACTTCTGCGCATCGGAAGAAGATCATATATTTTTTTTATTTAGTCCGTTAAAGTAGTATTGAATATAAATCGAGCAAGTCTCCAAAGCGTAGCGCGCAGAGGTTCCGCCTATGAAGCGAGGAGTCCGAGTTCGAGACCGGCTAGGGGTATAGAACTTTTTTATTTTATTTTCGTTTATATTCTGATAGTAAAGTATTAAATATTGTTTTTTTTAACCACCAGAATTATTAAATACTTTACTATTAGAATACAAGCGAAAATAAAATAAAAAAGTTTTGTACTCCGAGCCGGTCTCGAACTCGGACCCCTCGCTTCATAGGCGGAACTATATACAGGTTGTTAACTGGACAGTTACTTATAGGGGAACAGAATGACAACACTGCCTATTGAAAACGCATGCACGTATAGGGTTTTCTGCCGACTCGTCCCGTCGCGTCGTCTATCGACGAGCGGGCCGAGGTTGCCATATTTCAACCATAAAGCTCTTGCCGCGAGTAAAGGTACATTCAGGCTGAGAGCGTCGAGCGTCGCGTCGCGTTTGCGTCGCGTCCGCCCCATTGAACTCGAACCCCGACGCCGACGCTCAGCGAACGCTAGCGCAACGCCAAACGCGACGCTGTCTGCCTGAACGCTCTAATTTAAGTTAAGTGAATTGATTCCATTTCGACACGCGGACGCGACGCGACGCTCGACGCTCTCAGCCTGAATGTACCTTAATAAAGAAATTAAAAACCTGTTTATATATGTGGGCGGAACCTTTTCGCGCCGCGCTATGGAGACTCGCTCGGTTTATTTTCAATACTAGAATTTAAAGGACCAAATAAAAAATATATTGGATCTTCTTCCGATGCGCAGTAGCAACGCAACGTGTATCGAGAGCCAGACGGCCTGCCCGCTGTTCTAGAGGGCATAGTAAAAGATAGCCAGATGTTTTAAAATAATTGTTTTCCCGACGTTGCTCTCCTACTATATGTCTGTACAATCTGAAAAACGCAATTCGATTTAGGTATATTTTTCTTGTAGTATAGGATTATGAGATGATTAAAAAATCGCAGTATAATCTTCAAAAAGGGCTGGCTCAATTTCAATAGCCAAGAAACTAATTTTTGAACTTCAAAATTCAAAGATAATAAATTATTGAATAACTTATAGATATAGAATTTTGAACTTCGTTTAAATCTGTACTCATCCTGATGTACAACCGGGCCTTAATCCTTTATACTACATAAAATTATACAGGATGTTTCAAAAAAATGTGTCATCTCTCGTGGGGAGATTTCTCACGTAAAAATAACATTTATTTTTTGAATCAACATAGGTCCGATTCTGCTTTGTTTCGTATTTACAGGGAGTTGTTTTTTTTTTCGATTTATTATAATTTTCTTCCAAGTGCTTAAAACGATTCGATTTGACTTAATTTTGAAAAATTACTGTACGACATATTTTATACCAAAAAAGTGTCGACATATTCACCAGGGACGTGCATATGGGTCATCACTAGAATACTTTTCTAAAAAAGCGTGCGCCATTTTTTTCGCCTGACTTTTATTTCTCTCGTTGGTAAAATTGTATAGATTGTTTAATGCTGATTAAAAGTTGTCTTTGAGATTTGGTTGATTTCGGTCTCCTTCATGAGATAAACGTATTTTTATTAATTTGCCTTAATCCAAGTCTAATAGCACCGTTTAAAAGTGTTTAATATCATCATAGAATTCATTAACTGGTTAAAGTGTGAAATAGATACTCCTTGGCTGCGTTCAATCTGTTTGGACGTGACGTCACAACCTAGAGTTGTTTATTCTTCTTCCACTATATTAAAATTATATTAGGATGTCTCACTCTATCAGAATAGTCTTTATTTTAGAACGTTGAAGGGCGTAAATTTTATGTCCGGAGTGCATTCATTCGTCTTCAAAAAATATGAAAAAAAAAATTTGAAATTTGCTGTACTAGGTAGCACCGGTAGCACTAAACATCAGTGTTATAAAATTTAATAAAGTATAATAATAAATTAGATTAAATAAATAATATATATACAGGGTGTTTCAAAACAAATGCGAAAAACTTCAGGGGGTAATTCCTTGTTCAAAATAAAGGGTAGTTTGCTTCATAAACGTTGGGTCAAAAGTCAACCATTAGGGAGATATCGCGGTACAAAGATGGCGGAAAAATAATGTTTTTATATTTTATCTTGAAAACAAACAGAGATAGACTAATAAAATTTTATGGAAGCATTACTGTTATGAAAACACACTTTCTGGTAATTTTTTCAATTTTTTAAAATGAGTGGAAGGGGTTGAAATAAACTACCCCTATCATTCTTGTTAACGAAATTTAAAGAAAAATCTTATCAAACACACGCAAAAAAATTAATTTGGATAGTTTAGTTTGTTTAGAAAAACTTTTATCTCTTTTATTTTTTGATAAAACTCACCGATTTGAAATTAAAAAATAAAATGTAAAGCATTACACGCCAGGACAAAAAACATTTTCTGATAAAGAATCTAGTGGGCTGCTGTAATTTTTTTAGGAAAAAAATCTAGTCGGCCGCTGTTACTTTTTAGGATGTTCCTAATATTATTTTATTTGACATTACTCTACTGCAATACGTTATTATCTAGATGATTATTATTATCGTTATTATCACTAGATTCTTAATCTAAAAAATGTTTTTTGTCCTGACATGTAATGCTTTACATTTTATTTTTAATTTCAAATCAAATGTTTTATCAAAAACACAAGAGATAAAAAGTTTCTAAACAAACTAAAACTATCCAACTTAATTTTTGCATGTGTTTGATAAGATTTTTCTTTAAATTTCGTTAACAAGAATGATAGGGGTAGTTTATTTCAACCTCCACTCATTTTAAAAAGTGAAAAATTACCAGAAAGTGTGTTTTCATAACAGTAATGCTTCCATAAAATTTCATTAGTCTATCTCTTTTTGTTTTCAAGATAAAAAATAAAAACATTATTTTTCCGCCATCTTTGTACCGCGATATCTCCCTAATGGTTGACTTTTGACCCAACGTTTATAAAGCAAACTACCCTTTATTTTGAACAAGGAATCACCCCCTAAAGTTTTTCGCATTTGTTATGAAACACCTGTATATATATATATATATATATATATATATATATATATATATATATATATATATATATATATATATATATATATATATATATATATATATATATATATATATATATATATATATACCGGGTGCGTCTCAAAAGTGGCTCACCCCTATAACTTTTTTATTGTTTTTTCGGATAAAAAAACGAGATTTGGTATGTCAGTATATGACATAAATTAGGATTGATTGACATATTCAATCGTTTTCGGTCACTTCGGTTTCCCCGGAAATGAATACAACTTTTGATTTCTAAATGGCACCTTCGGTATTTTTTGACTTTATTCGATAGAAAATGACACTCTGAATGGAATGTGATATGTCATACTGAATGTCTCTGAATGGAATGTCATATGTCATATGATATCACATATGTCAACTTTTGACATTTTCGCGTATGGTTAATTTGAAATTATAACATGCTGTTCATAACGACAATTTGACTCGAAATACCAAGTGTGTGGTATCAAATTATTTGTAAAAAAATGCTTTTTCCAAATATGCTAATGAGCTACCCTTGAAAAAATTGAGATATGATTATGATTAAAAAAACGATTTGGGCATCTTTAAACTGACCAGGACAAGACACTAAAAACATTAGACGATCAAATCTATTTTACCAAGGCTCCTTGATTAAAAATTAGTGTTTTTAACACAGCCATTGAAATTTAAAATATAATTTTCTTTTAAGGGAAAATGTCCAAAGTTGACATATGACATGTCATTCGATTCAGAGTGTCATTTTCTATCGAATAAAGTAAAAAAATACCGAGGGCGCCATTTAAAAATCAAAAGTTGTAGTCATTTCCGGTGAAATAAAGGACAGGACACCTAGATTTAAAAATATTACATTTTTATTGTCTAGGATATAATATGTAATATACCACAGAAAATTATAATTAACACAAAATACCTAGGTAAATAAAAAAATGTTTACTTTAAGTTTCAAATTTTTTAAATTAAATGTAAATCTGCTATTCTGAACACATACAAACTTATGTATGTAAAAAAAACTTTATTTAAAAATAACGTAAATATTTACAGCTAGTTGATTAGTTATCTAATCTACTTACAGACAAAGTAAATATTAAATTTTGAACCCAAGTTTTGTATTATCAACAAAAATGCAAGGAATATATGTATAAATTGAGAATATACTTATTTATATTATAAATTTCCTTTTGTTATACCTTTGCTCATAGAAATTTTCACTTTTTTCACATTTTCGTGCTGGAATTTTCATGTTTTCCGTTACATCAACGTCGAAGAGTTAAAATAACACTGAAATTATTTCAATAAAAAATATTACCTACACAGATCCAGACGTTCAGTTTGCTCTGTTTACAATTTGGATCGAGAAATCGCACTGTGACGTAAACAAAACGTACAGCTTCGGTCAAAATTATATTAGAAGACCACGATCATGATAGTAACATGTATGATTAAAATATCATAGGAAACTTTTTAATGCACCTTACATGTTACATATGTTTCCTTACTGGGCTACTATCCACTTAAATTATTATTACTACTTAGTAGGTATAAGGGGATAGTGTCAATTGATGCACTATTGAATATAACCCCCATACACCAGAAGCAAAGTTTACAGAATATTTTTTTTCTGTAGACTTTGCCAGAAGATTGGCCTGCGGATAAAAACTTTTATTTGTGTGCCGGATCAAGTCTGTGACAGACCGAGCCTGTGGCGGACCAAGCCTTTCACAGACCAAATTTGTCAGACTAGAATGGACTTGTAACGCTTTTTCTTTCTAAGCGAAAATACCATTTAAATATACTTTTTTTTACTCAGGTAAGATGACAGAAAAAAGGCAGATGACGTCCATACCAATACCAATCCATTTATCACATATATTTTTATGACCAAAAAAGTTTCTAATGTTTCTAATATTTTTTTAAGATCACTGTGGATGGGTTTAATCCGGGTGCGTCTCAAAAGTGGCTCACCCCTATAACTTTTATTATTTTATTCAGATAAAAAAACAAGATTTTCTGTCAGTTTATGACATAAATTAGGTTGGTCACTTCCTGTTTCACATGAAATGACTACAAATTTTGATTTTTAAATGGCATTCTCTGTATATTTCTACTTTATTCGATAGAAAATGACACTCTGACTAGAATGACATATCATATGTTAACTTTTGCAATTCTCGCTTAAAAAAATCGTATTCTATACCATCTAGTATATGATACTAAAAACAGGAATAGCTGTAAAATAACGGCACACGATAGGTAAATAATAGATTTTGATTTTAGTACTGCAGCGAAATAATGTCGAAAGGTAGGTACTGGTATTTTAGTTTTTATGTTGTTTTATTTATTCCTGTGGTAAATTAAAAAAAAATGTACATAAATTATATTGATAAATATGAGAAGAAATGCGAGATTTCTTGAAGTTTGAAAGTAAGAAATAGTTTTTATAGACTTTTTTGTATGCGGTGTTTTGTTTAACATACACCCTTGTATGTTTTCTATTAACACAGATCCTAGTTTTTTTTTTGAAATGAAAAAATTCCATTAGATTTTTTCAGTTTTATGTAACTATTTTTTTTTCATAACATTTTGAAATAACCACTTGTTACTTAAATTTCAGATCCAATTGTACCAACCTGAGGTACCAACTTATTTCTTTGTAAAATAAAATATAATTCGAAATAATGACAGAAACATCTCTCACTGTCCAGCCCCGTTCTCAGAACGACGTGGTGTCGCCAGCGACACTGATTGACACTTCAAACGACCAATGGGAGCTGTATTAAATTTAAAATTGACAGCTGTTTGAATTTTGTACAAATTTCATGGGTTCTTTTTCAAATGAACCAATCAGATTTGTAGAATATTCAAAATTGACAGCCGTTTGAATTTTGTACATATTGTAGGTACAAATCTGATTGGTTCATTTGACGTGTCGCTGGTCGCTGGCGACAGTCGATGCTCTGAGAACAGGGCTTCAAGGATTTTGTTGTTGGACAGATTAAAGCAATTTTATTCCGATAAACATTTATCTATATAAAAACTGCTATAAAAGGTCGAATTTTGTCCAAATGAGAATAATTAATAGGGCAAAGATATAATCGGAAGGATAAGCCCGCAGGCCAAATCTACTGATGTATGGGGGGCTATTGGAATGAATTAAGAGGGCAAAGATCCAATCGGAAGGATAAGTCCGCAGGCCAAATCTTCTGATGTATGGGAAGCTATTGGAATGAATTTTTAAAAACAGATTTGTGATTTTATCGTTATATTTTTGTGCAACTCTGTATTAAAAAAATTCTAGATATACGTATCACATGTTAGATGTTTATGGCAAGGAAATAATATAAAGTTCGCCAAAACCATTAAATAATAAAGACCCAATTAGGTGAGTAAATAAAAATTACAGTTAGGTGTATTATAACGGACAACACCGCCCAAGTTGCCATAATTTCTTCTCTGCAATGCCAACGTTTAATACGCACTCAGTTTATTGTAAAAATAGAAAAAACGTTTTAAAAATAACTCATTTCGATTGCCAACGTGGCAAGAAATACTTAAGTACCTTACATTTATTATTTATATATGCCATTATCATTTATATAAACATTATAATCGATTAGACCAATCTATTTATTTAACTACTTATAATCCAGTGGCATGATATCATAAAGACCTTTTTATCTGTCCTATTATTGAATGAGTTTACAATAATTTATCATGTAAATGTAATGGAAAAATACCAGGTCAATTTTAAGGCCTATTATACCTAGTCTAGGCCAGAATAACAAACGTCAAGTTATCCAAGACATCCAAGGTTGAAAAGATACCGAGTTCAAAATATTGAAATACCTATACTCCCGTATTTTTCGCTAACTTATAAAATTAAAGATTACGATGATAACACAGAAATTTACGGAAGATTGGAAGTAGGTCTTGTATTTACAGATGTTTAATCATTGCAATACGTCAAATCAAACAATGGCCATGTGATATCGACAGGAAACATTTGCGTGGTCTAATCGGACCTTAATCGACTCATATAATAGGCTACTGCCAAAATCTCGTGAAATAATCTAGTAAATTCCACAATTACTTTTAATGTTTAACAGAAAAAATAAAAAGTAATACTGAATATGAAACACTTCAAGATTGGGTTTAATTGGTACATTTGAAATAATAAAATCACTGTTTTTAATAGTTAATCCCATTATCTTAAATCCATAATAGAGGTAAACGTTTAATAATCGTATTCGTATTACAATATGTATGTCTGTCTATTCTAAGATAAAGAACATTTCTTTTATAAAATAGTGCATGTTACTTACGAACTGGAATTACTACTCATTATGGCTGGCATGGCTGGTTCAGAGTCACTAGAAATTGAATCACTATTTAACACTTGACAAGTCATAAACATAATTAATAGAACAGAAAACAAAAAAAATGCAACCACAATACGATTAAATACACTTTTTTCGTACAGTACTACTCATCAATGCACCTTTCAGAACCCGATTAAACAGAGAGGCCCCAGAGAGGACTGAGATCTGACATCTGACATCTGACACTTCTGACAGACAGAAAGACCTCGAAAGTTTTTATTCCTAGAACATGGAATATTCCTATCTATAGGCCAATAGTCCCTGGTGTCTGATGGCCTCCAAACAGGGTTCGGAAGTAGTTAATTAAGACGTAATTTACCTGATTAACTACGTGTCGTTTTTCTTCAAAAACTACGTCTTTTCCCGTTCATTAACTACATGAAAACTACGTTAATAAACTATGTTTTGATATTATGAATAATTTTCCATTGTATGAGGTGTAATAGAGATAATATGATCTAAATATTATATTTAAAGCCATATTTCTTCTGTTTTCTTAAATTCATTATGTGTTTTTAAAGCTTCAACTTATTATAACCTCACCTCAAACCTTTGATATTTGACATAGGTTACATAAACTACACCCTCTACATACCCTACATTAACTACATGTAATGTAATTTATGTAGTTTTTAAAAGTAACATGTAGTTTTCCGAACCCTGCCTCCAAACACTGAACAGGCCAGATAGCCCTAGTCGCTAGGATCCTTCATATACAAGAGTAGGATAGTATCCTTGGGTCCCATCCAAGGGGTCCCATCCAGATTAGCCCTAAATGGGGATGTCACTTGGTATGGGAATGGGAAAATGGAAAATAGTCGTTTCAGCCTTGCTGGGCTACCAGCATAGACTTAAATATACATAATATGTTCCATTAGTGGTGACATCATGTAGGGGTAGGGCCTCTGGTAGGGCATACAGTCCTTGGGGGTAGGGTTGATCCAAGGGGTTGATCTGGATAGAGCCTAGTTTCTTTATACGTAATACAAACCGCGATCCTCAGCCAAGTACTTATAAAAGCATGGCATAGGTCACATAGCGCGGCCGTACGTCATATCCTTGATTATAGACAAGAGTCATATCATCGTATGATGAGGATTGTGGCCATAGATAAAGGAGCAAGAAGATATATTTTATATTATAAACGGCCGGATAGCCCTGGCAGCTGTGGCCATTAAACTAATATACTACTATACTATAACCTCAAGCTCTCAACTCTTAAACCTCATCAACCTCATTACTCATCATTATCAAATCATTATAAACATTTAAGCGATTATCCACACTTAAAACGTTAAAACAATAATTGTAGAATATATTAATATCAAATATACATCAATAACACAGATTATATATAATAATCTGTGTTAATAACTTCAATATTTGGGATATCACGGATGTATTGTCTATATCGAGGCTTGTGTAATTGAAAATTGTATTATTGTATTTAAATTGAACTCTCAATTCGTACACAAGTGATAAATCTATTTTAACTTAATTCGTTCTCCAAAACATGTCCTAAAGGAAATCGTAGATAAATTAGATAAAAATATTTCAATTTGTCTGTTATGAAATAGTCATGAATATATAAGAAGTAATACAAATTCATCATTATGTCTGAAACGGAGAAAACTGTCGATGGTTCAGGCTGCAGTTTTATATTTAAGAAAAGAACTGTAAAAGCCAAGGGAGTTAGGCAGCGTCAACAATCTAACTCGGGTGAAGGTATAGCAATAATCTCGTTTGAAAATGTGGTATTTTATTTTTCTTAAATAATATTGTAGAAAAACCAAGTAGTGAAGTTGATGAAAAACCTGCGGTAGTACGTTCTAATAAGAGAAAATTCAAGGTAAACCCTAATATTCAGCAATCAACTAGGTTAGAAAAGAAACTCAAAGCTGAAGCTAATGAAACTGATTCTGGGTCAGATAGTGACAGTGTTTTAATCAGTTACAAGTCAAATAAGTCAGCAATGCCACGAGGACCTCAAGATCAAGGTGCCACTGCTACATTGGTGTGTATAAAATGCTTAATTTTTTACTATTTTATGAATACTGTGTTGTATAGGAAATTGAAACAGAGAAAGATCGAGATGCTCAAGCAATTTTTGAGAGACGTTTGGAACTAAATAAAGTACTTGAAGGCAAACAGGATGACAAAATATATAGAGGAGTGAATAATTATGCTCAGTATTACAAACCAAAAGATACAGCAGCTGGAAATGCTAGCTCAGGTAGGTTATACCTGTGGTTATACTGTATACTGGATGATTCAAGAGATGTCAATACTTTGGATACATATTTAGAGCCCAAAAATAAACATAAAAGTCTTTAAAAATGTGTCCACAAGCACAATGCCTTTGTTTTTGAGATATAGGGTGTTAAAATCTATAATAACATAAATATTATAATCCAAATATCTCGAAAAGGAACTGTTGATCTCATTAATTTTTAAGAGGTATTATTTTTTATTACGAAAATCAATAGTAAGGGGGGTAAAACCCCATGAGACAACTGAATCACATAATCACACATTTAAAATAAAAATAAATAAATACTGCACTATCTACATTAAGGTATTAAATTGGGAACTGTTTTGAACTAGAATTTTTGTGAGAGATTCAACTGCCATTGTGTATGCAAGGTCCTATTCTCATGTTGAAATCGCCTTGTTTTGTTTATGCCTGAAAAAAATAGAGAATGCCATTGACTCACTGATACAAGCCCCATAATTGACTGTATACCAGCTCTGTTTGTTTAGATGTACACTCACTCAGTAGACCTCCCTCATCAATGATGAATAACATATTATTAGATGGAAAACTACCTGTGAGCTGGAAAATGGCTATAGTCATGCCCAGCCATACACTAATCTATCTGTAATGAAGTTCCGCCTTAGTGCATGGTCCAACATAATGCTGGTAGCGTAGCATATGGTAGTATACGCTACGCGGTATGTGGGGCCACATCGGTTTAATTCACTGCTATTCACTGCTCTGCTGTACGCTTCATGTGGGGCGACGCATACAGCTTCTAATAGTCTAATTTTCTTTCATAATATCCACTTATGATCCTGAAAGTTTCAATGAGATCGCCACGAATTTTTCATTGTGGTAGGACGCTACATAGTAGTAGCATGCTACATTGTGGTAGCACGCAACAAAATAAGTATTTCGCAGCGGAATCACCAGTTAATCAAGAAATATCAAGATCTTGAAATTTTTTGAGTCAAGACACAGAGCGTCAAGACAAGATGTTTTTAAATTTCTTGATTTTTTCAAGACAAGACAAGAGATTGTCATCAAGACAAGCATTCTTGTCTTGTACTGACTCCTATTTATATATATTTTTGGGCTTTGAATATATGTATCTGAAATATTGACTATTGACATTTCCTCATAAATCGCCTTGTATACCATAGTTATTACGCAGGGTGACCCAGGCTTCCGAAAAAGTTCTATATTAGGTTTTTCTGGTTTGTGATTTTCGATTTAATTTTTCTTACATATGGTAGTCTCTCCTTTAAAACTCAGCTTACCAATATTTACAATCTTGTTTGATATACAGGGTGGCGCCTCTCATACGCCGCGGAGTTTCCAAGGAGAACGACTGTTTGTATGGAAATGAAATTTTGTGAGCATATGTAGGTTAATTCAGAGCACTTTTTAAAAATATAGAGAGTTCTACAGGGTGTTCCTAAAAAAAAGTTAACATATCAAAGTTGTGTTTTTTGTAATGGAACACTCTATATATTAATAATTAATATATAGACCCCAAACCAAATCGAACATCAATTATTGATGTTCAGATTCTGCGAGAAAAATAAAGGTAATTTTTATAAGAGAAGTATATCAAAATAAAAACACTAAATCACCACAATACACCAAAACACTTTTACTTTTACACTGGACGCGCGTTTCGCTAACCATGTTAGCATCATCAGCAGATGGTTATGAACTGAAGAAGTATATGACTAAAATGTAAGGTTTTTTCATACACAGACATATTTAACATTTTCTAAAAATAAATAATAATTTTTAAATTACAATAAAACCAACCTAAATTGGAATTTACCCCATATAGCCTAATATGTAGTTAAAATAACTATTGTACTTTAAATCAAATTAAAACTTGACCCAAAAACTTATACAGGCTGAGATAAAATTAATATAGAACAACCTCTAAAAACAAGTTACTCTTTTATTTTAAATGGAAAACCCATTATATTATTTCGATATTTAATGGGGATTATAATATGTCTCTTCAAAATACTATTAAGGTTGCCTACCACTCAAACAAATATTCTAGATATTTTCATATATATGATTTAGTTTTGATTTGGTTTGGTTGTCAGTAGATCTTTATTATTTCATAAAATCTAGGTAGCTGTCATATGTTTGACGTTACTTCAACATACCTGTCTAACTAGTCCAACTTTAATAACTAGTTATAATTTTGTGTCAGTTAAAACAAAAAAAAATCTCAGAAATTTGCCGAAGATGCAAACTTATCCTACATCGGGGATCGGGGAGAATTGATATGATTCTGTTAATTGGTAACTGGCAATGTGTATTTACCAATTAACAGAATGCTTAGTGCTCTTGATTTTATCTAGTCTGGGATTTTTTATGGGGATATATTGAAGACAGTGTTGTCTTGACCAACTATCGTCGACAACATGAGAGAAATGACTGTAGCTGCTTGTCGAAACAGAACTCCAGATAAATATGATTTTTAAAATAAAAGATCTTTTGAAAAGACAACCATTTTATGCAGTTAACAGGAAAGGAAACATTTTGAGCATTTGATTTCATCTAGTTAATTGTCACATAATTATAGGTTTATATCTAGTTTTAATTCTGTAATAATTAAAATATGTTTTAAATGTATGTATATATTTTTATTACCGTTGAGTCTTCTATTCTACATCCTTTAATTTTTGTTAAATTAACAAAAAAGGTATATCACAGCCACCTAGTTTTTTTCAAATAATAAAGATCTACTGACGCAAAATAATAAAAATCCAGGAAAATCTGTGACTGAGGGTTAATAAACAACCTTAATAATATTTTGAAGTTATATGAATTCCCTATTGAACACCGAAATAATATACTGGGTGTTCCATTTAAAATAAAGGAGTAACTTGCTTTTAAGAGTGACTAATGTTCCATTTTAATTTTGTTTCAACCTGTATAACTTTTCGGGTCAAATTTTAATTTGGTTTAACATACAATGGTTACTGTAATTAAATATTCGGCCATTTTAGGCAGCTGTTATTGAAATTTAAAATTTTCTCAAAATTTTCACATAATGTGAAATACCTGTGACAAAATCCTTACATTTTAGGTATATGCTTCTTTAATAAAAGTCACCTTTATTTTTTTCCTAGAATCCGAAATTTAATCAATTAATATATAGGGTGTTCCATTACAAAAAACACAACTTTGATGTGTAATTTTTTTTCGGGACACCCTGTATAACTCTATATATTTATTACAAATTAATCTACATATGCTGCCAAAATTTCATTTCGATATAAACTACTCCATGGAGCCTCGATCTGCGTCGTATGAGAGGCGCCATCCTGTATACAGGGTGGGTCAAAACTAAATGTTATATTTTTCTCCACTATTTTATATTGACCACCCTGTATTTTGTATCATAATCGAAGAACTTTTGTTTATCTTTTTGTTTTAATCAGCGCTTTCTATACCTAAAATCTATATTTAATGAGAAAATCGTGCTTTTTGAAAATATAAGAGAGGATTGCTAAATTCACTCTATCGGAGTCATTTTTTTTGGGAGGCCTGTATCACCCTATATTACTAACAAGAATTTTTATAATGAAATCTTTCAAGGTATGGTAAGAAAAGGTCCTATTAGAGCACCAAGTAACCTCAGGGCTACAGTACGTTGGGATTATCAACCAGATATTTGTAAAGATTATAAAGAAACTGGATTTTGTGGGTTTGGAGATAGTTGTAAATTTCTCCATGACCGTAGTGACTATAAACATGGTTGGCAGCTTGAAAGAGAATGGGAAGAAGGCAAGTAAGTAACCTCAATGAAGTAAATTAAGTTTTCTTTATTAATTTAGTATTTTCAGATATGGTGCTGATAGTGATGATGATAAAAAATATGAGATAGATTCAGATGAAGAACAGTTGCCTTTTAAATGTGTTATTTGTAGGGAAAGTTTTGTTAATCCAGTAGTAACCAAGTAAATTAATAGGAAGAATGTCCTTTCAAATTTTTATCTATTTTTTTCTTCTAGATGTAAGCATTATTTTTGTGAAAAATGTGTTGTGAAAAGACACAGGAAAACCAACCGTTGCTTTGTATGTAATGCCCAAGTAACCATATTCAATCCGGCAAGAAATATTTTAGAAAGGCTGAAACAAAGTGAAGAACAAGAAAAAAAGAAGAAGAATGAAGACAGTAGTGATTCAGATTGATTTCGTATTTTATTTCCAATCATTTAACCCTCTTAATAATAATTTTTACTGTATATGTATGTAAAAAAATAAGTTGCAAAATCTTTATTTTTTGTGCTAACTAAAATTTATTTAACATTATAAATAATAAAAACATTGTTACATATTTTTCATTTAAAAAAAAAAGTTAATATAAAGATGATACAATATAAAATGTGTTTCATTATCAAATCTTTTTTGGGCCTTTATGTAATCATAATATGTGCATACCTTTTTGTGCGTTAACGTTTTAAAATAAAGTAATAAACCTGCTTATACAGAAAAGACCAATATAAACGGGAAAATTGATGAAATTCGGTTTTGGCGAATGCGCCGGACTTTAGTTAGTCTGTGGTTAGATTTATTAGATACAGACTAACTTGATAAAGTTACCCTAAGTTTTTACAAGTCTGTATCACAGATAACCTATATAAGTTAGTCTGTGATACAGACTTGTAAAAACTTAGGTAAATAGGTAAAAAAAAAGTTTGTTATAACAAGTTATAATGAGCATTTCAATATTGATGAAATGTCTGCAACCAGCATAAGGTTCATTTTCAATTTAAAATATAGACACTAAATTTACTGCAAAGGGGCTAATGGCTAATACAGAGTGAGTCTTAAATAAGTCCAAAAATTTTCAGGGATGGTAGATCTCGATAAAAAAAATATTTTCTCTTTGCTGTTTTTCAAATAAGTCCAAAATTACCGAGTTATTTAATTTAAAAATTTAAAAAAAAAGTATTTTTCGCTTAAATTTAGAGAACCACTGGATCTTTTCTGGGTTTTCTTTCTTGTAAATTTAACCTACTACTTATGTTACGATATTATCCTAAAATTTTTGTTTAAAAAAAAACGAAAAAAATTGAAGCGTTTTTTTTGCGTAAACCTTCATAACTCATAATCGTATTTCTGTGGTCGAAATATATACTACCCCTAAAAATATTTCCACTTATTTAAGACTCACCCTGTATAGTAGAATTAAATAACGTTTTTTTAACAAACTAGAATTAACTAAAACTTTAATTAAAGCCATTAAAGTAACAACAGAAACTGTTAAGAATCAATTTAATTTCTTCACCATTTTATATATTTTTTACTATAAATCCGGTAAAGAAAACTCCAAGATTAATCTTAGAATATTATAATAATCTTAATCAGTCGAAGATTGAGTCACTCTGACATAATTATTACATAAATTCTAAATTGAATTATTGTTTGTACAACCTCAGGCAATTCGATATAATACGTCCTTTTGTCTAGTCTTTGATAAACCCATGAAAAAATTGCAAGATACAATAAAGAAGACTCAAAAGTTCGCAATCGATCAAAGAATCACTGCGGTTCAATTATGAAGATTCTAGATTCAGTTATCATTTGTACAACCTCAAGAAACCCTTTGTAACACGTTCTTTTGTCTAGAATTTGCTAACTCCCCCCCACCAAAAAAAACCACGAAATACCATATGATTGAGAAAAAAAACGGCGTCAGCGATGGCTATGAAATGAAGATCGCAATCATTGTATATGTAAAATTATGTGGGGAATGTCATTGATGTTCATTTCTAACCAGCCAACTGAACGCTGTTTTTTTTTTCGATCATATGGTAGTACAGCTAAGTAGAGGTGGGCAAAGATTGAACGAGTCGTTCATTTGAACGAGTATTAAAAATTAATCGTGTGATTCGATTCACTGCTTAAAATACGGTTCGTTCAACTGAATCGTGGCCGGCACGGATCCAAAGATTTAAACGATGAGCCGTAAAAAAGAATCCTTAGAATTGAATCGGATCACTATGCGATCGTTCGTTTCTACAGCGCGGTCCGGCGGCGGCGCCAATATTTAGACTTAAGCAAAAGCCCTAAACAAACATCATGGGCATAAAATACAAACGATAAGAATGTTATTTACAAGAAAAAACTTATTTATATCTGTGCTTAGTACAGGAGTATCTGTAAGGTATTTAATTGTTACGTTAATATTTTTGTTAAAATAATATTATCGACTATAAATTATTAAATGTCGGACATTGTCGGACCAAAAGACGAAATCGTGTTTTTATGCAACTCCAAATAAATATTGTTGGTCTTTGCTCAATATGATAAAAAAACGGCGTCAGCGATGGTTATAAAATGAAAATCCCTGTCATTTTATATGTAAAATTATATGGGTAATGTCATCGATGTTCATTTCCAAGCCAACTTTTTTGGATCATGCGGTATTATATTATACTATTTATTATATGATTATTAAATCGGAATTAAAATATATGGCTCTAAAAATATTAAATTGGTATTAAGAAGTATTTAATAATAAACAGTATATGTATATGAATTGGATTGATAATTTAATATTATTTGTAAAATAATCAATCTAATTACGCTAGTGTCATGAAGTGGAGAAGACAAATCGTAGGAGTCGATTCAAAATATGAGAAATTGAATCGTGTGATTCGATTCACTAAAAAGAATCGTAATGCCCATCACTACAGCAAAGTAAATACAATAGCTGCAATAAGAACAATTATTAGATCCAAGTTATTCTGAATTCAATTATTGTTTGTACAACCCCAGGCCATCCCTTACGATACGCCCTTGAGTCTATTTTAAGCAAACCCCTGAAAATAGATAAAATCGTGGAATTCAAGGAAGAAGTCTAAGGTTTAAGACCGTAGTCAGTTGAAGAATGGGCCACGGCCACCACGGCAAACGAAGAAATGAAGACAAGGATGGCCGAAGGGAGCATCAACCTGTGTGGGGCCGTTCGTTGAACTTCAGCCAGTGCCGTAACTGCGGGGTGAGCGGGCCAAGGAGTGAGCTCGACCTCGTGCGACTAGTTCGGTGAAAGTGACAGTAGAGGGGGTTAGTAAATAGTCAAGTATAGGTATTTCGCGTTCCAATATAAATTTTCCAGAGGTTGGTAAAATGGTTTTCGCCAAATATTTGAAATGAAAACACAAAATAGATAATAGAAACACTATTTAAAATACAAAATAGACGATACATCTTAAAGTTGTATTTAAAATGTAAAATAGAAAATAGGTATTTTAAATACCTAATAAGTGATTTATGCAAAATAAAATTGCTTTATTTTATTTTAATGATAGGTACATATCTTATGTTGTTTATAATTATAAATTTTCGAAATTACATTATTATTTTTATGTATCAGTTAGTTTTAAAAATATTATTTGCTTTAATTATTCATAGTTACTGAAGATCTTTTCTGGTCCTTCCCGTTTTATAATTTTGCCAGAAAGCAAAATAAGCCATTCAATAGTGAGAATTCGACAAATTCGTGATTATCTAAGTTAATTAAAAAAATCATTTTGGTTTTATCAAAAAGGATGATTTTTTTAGGATGATACTAATAATAATAATTCATTACTGTATTACTGATAATGATACACGTTCTACTATACCGGGTGCGTCTCAAAAGTGGCTCACCCCTAAAACTTTTTAATTTTTTTCAGATAAAAATACGAGATTTGGTATGTTAATGATATAAATTAGGATTGACTGATTCAATTCTTTTCGGCTACTTCCTGTTTCACCGGAAATGACTACAAATTTTGATTTTTAAAGGGCACCCTTGCTATTTTTTTACTTTATTCAACAAACAATTTTTTTACTCTCAATAGAATGACATATCATATATGTCAACTTTTGATATTTCCACTTAAAACAAAATTGAATTTTAAATTTTATAGAGTGCCAAAGCTGTTCAAATAGTGTAAAAAATACCGACGGTATCTTTTAAAATTCAAAAGTTGTAGTCATTTCCTGTAAAAGAGGAAGTGGCCGAAACTAATTGAATACGTCAATCGAACCCTATTTTTGTTATATACTAAATTTCGTTTTTCTTTTTAATTGGAAAAATAAAAAAGGTATAGGGATGATTTTATAGAGTGCCAAAGCTGTGTTAAAACACAAATTTTTAATCAAGGAGCCTTGGTAAAAATAGATTTGATTGTTTAATGTTTTTAGTGTTTTTCCCTAGCCGTTTAAAAGATGCCCAAATCGTATTTTTAATCATATCTCAATTTTTTTCAAATGGAACGAAGGTGGCTCATTAGCATATTTGGAAAAAGCATTTTTTTACGAATAATTTGATACCACATACTTGGTATTTCGAGTCAAATTGTCGTTATGAAACACATGTTGCAATTTCAAATAAACCACATTCGAAAATGCCAAAAAGTTGACATATGATATGTCATTCTTTTCAGAGTGTCATATTCTATCGAATAAATACCGAGTGTGCCATTTAAAAATCAAAAGTTGTAGTCATTTCCGGTGAAATGGGAAGTGACCGAAAACAATTGAATAAGTCAATTAATCCTAAATTATGTCATATATTAATATACCAAATCTCGATTGTTTATCTGAAAAAATAAAAATGTTATAGGGGTGAGCCATTTTTGAGACGCACCCGGTATACAGGGTGAGTCTTAAATAAGTGCAAATATTTTCAGGGCTGGTAGATCTCGACAAAAGAAACATATTTTCTCTTTGCTGTTTTTCAAGTCCAAAATAACGTTATTTTACTTTGAAAATGAAAAAAAAATTGCTGAAATTTGAAGAATCACTGGATCTTTTTTGGGTTTTATTTCTTGTAAATTTAATCTACTCTCTATATATGTTGCCGTATTATCAAGAAATTATGCTTTTTAATTTAAAACTAAAAAGTTTCAAATTTATTTTATTTTTTGCGAATAAAACCTCATAAACGTGTTTTCGGGGCCGAAATATACTACTCCGAAAAATATTTGCACTTATTTAAGACTCACCCTGTATATATAATATTCTATATATTTTGGATCGCAGGTATTAACTTCAGCAGGTTTGCGGAGTGTGATTTACTTGTCAAATACCATAGCCGTCTGTATCAAAAACTTTTTAATTCTTGCTCTTGCATTAAATTTAAATATTTTTCCACTATTTGTCGCAATATGCATATATTTTTCCATTGTGTGAAGCCTGTTCAGGTCGAAATTTGAATTTTGACCTGACCCTAGTCGACCTTCCACAGTTTTTATAATTATTTTTTATATCATACGTCTATACACGTTAGTGACGTAGTATTTTAAACAATTTTATAGCAAACGCTAATATTATTTGGTAATGTTAGATAGTGTGTGTCTGCCCTATTTTTTAATGTTGTCAATGTTTCCC